AAATTTCTTGCATTGCTGTTAAACACAGTGCTAAGAAAACATGGAAGTTAATAACAAGAATCAGGTGAATTCTCAGGGTATTGTGTTAGAACAGGGTCCAGTGTACTCCAAAAATTTAGGAAACATCTGGAGGACACTGAATCTCCTTGGGACAAAAGAGCTCCTGGAGCAGGTGCAGGGGCAGTGACAAAGGTCCAGGAGGTGAACACAGCTGTGCTCAGGATATGGTGGAAGGTCCAGGTCCGTGCTCAGACAGGAGCTCAAAATGTGGGCAAACTGCTCACCTGGAGATCTTCATGTCTGTGTTTAGGGGTCAGGTCTAGGCTGGTTTATTTTATTTTATTTTATTTTATTTTATTTTATTTTATTTTATTTTATTTTATTTTATTTTATTTATCTCAGAATGTGGGTAAACTGCTCACCTGGAGTGGTTCATATTAAGGAATCAGATCTAGGCTAATGGGGAGAATAATCAACAAAATCATTCTGTGGAAATGTGATAATTCAGCTCTAACCATGAGGCCAATTCTGGCTCAGAGAGCAAAGCCTTAAACATGAAAGGAGGACAGGAGAAAAATGGGAAGATTTGTTGTAATTTGAGAGATATTTTGTTGCCCAAAATGTTTTTATTTTGCCCAGACCCTTTGAAACTCTGACATCCAAAGAGAGTCAAAAACAGGCAGGAAAATGAGTTCTGAGCAGCAATTATCCCAAATCGAGGGACAGCTTCCCCTATTAACCAAAGTAATTTGAATTATTGATTAAAACATAAACCACAAGGCTTTGCATATTTACCCTGTGTGTTGTGTTTGTGATTCCCAGGTCTATTATAAAGTTATTAAAGAGATTGAGCCGGGGGAAGAGCTCCTGGTGTGCCTGAAGGAAGGAGGTTATTCCCTGGGGAACATGGCACCCAGCATGGAAGGTAAGGCTCCCCACGAGCTCCTGCTCCTCTCTGCACCCTCAGCCAGGCCAGGGCTGGGACAAAACCTGACAAAACCTCGGCCAGGACCTGCCCCTTCTGTCTCTGAATGGATTTTGTGCTCATTTTCACTCTTTTCCTGGTGAGAGAGGCTCAGTCCACAGCGCCGAGTTTTTATCAGCCTCATTTCCCTCTCTCTGTGGGTTTGGGTATGATCAGAGGTTCCTTTTCCATTTATCAGCCTTAATTCCTTCTCTTTATGGGTTTGGGTATGATCAGAGTTGCCTTTTCCATTTTTCAGCCTCATTTTCTTCTCCTTGTGGGTTTGGGTATGTTCAGAGGTGCCTTTTCCATCATCAGGTGCCTTTGGGTGTCATAAAAATGGCCAAACTATCCCAAGGATCAAAAACATCCCTCTTGGTAAGGGATGTTTTCCATCCTTGGGAAAACATCTGTCTGTCTGAATGGATTTTGTGCTCCTTTTCACTCTTTTCCTGGTGAGAGAGGCTCAGTCCACAACACCGAGTTTTTATCAACCTCAGTTCCTTCTCTTTGTGGGTTTGGGTATGATCAGAGGTGCCTTTTCCATTTATCAGCCTTAATTCCCTCTCTCTGTGGGTTGGGTATGATCAGAGGTGCCTCTTCCATTTATCAGCCTTAATTCCTTCTCTTTATGGGTTTGGGTATGTTCAGAGGTGCCTTCTCCATTTATCAGCCTCAATTCCTTCTCTTCATGGGTTTGGGTATGTTCAGAGGTGCCTTTTCCATCCCCAGCTGCTTTTGGGTGTAATAAAAATGGCCAAACCATCCCCAGGATGGAAAACATCCCTCTTGGTGAACATCAGCCTGCAGAGATTTGGGGAATCTGGAAAAGAGGGGTCCAGGCAGGGGATGGAAGAGTCATCACTAAAATTATCATTGCTGGAATAAAGAAACCTCATCTTTCTCTGCAGCAGCTGTGAGCAGGTAGCAGGACACACACATGGAGTGTTCTGGAAATCTAAGAGTGCTCCCAGCGCTGGTTTTCCTCTTTTAGGATGCTTTTTCCCACATTCATCCAAGGCTCTGACATTACAAACACTGTGCAAGGAGGTGACCTCTGAGGAAAACTGGGAAGGATGTGCACAGCATCATTATTCCATGATTTATTTCTATAAGTACTCTATAAATAATTTCTAAAAATCCTGGTAAATTTTCATTTAAAAACTAATGTTTTTAAACTAGTTTTTAAATATTGCTCTAAAAAATTAATTTATGAAATTGGAGTTCTCTCAGCGCACCCCACAATTTTTATCTATTTTTTACCGTACATAAGTATAATTTCTGATGCAAATTTGCAGTAAAATCCTGCACAATCAGTTTCCAATATTTCAGGAAAATGAGATAATTTGAGGATTTGTGCTGCTGGAAGTTCATTTGCTGAAGGGCTGGGGTGAAATGTGATATTTGCTGCCTCACTCATATCAAGTTTGGGAGTATTTTTTCACTCCTCTCACCCCCCAAAAAGTTAATCATTTTCTCAAGACTAACACACAGAGATGAATAATTTCTTCACCTTTTTTTTTTTTTTTTTGATGTCAAGGAGAAATCTGAATGAAAACTCACCGCTGTTCTGCATTTCAGTTTCTAGCAGGCTTTTATGTGAACAAGCAAAAAGTGCTCCTTGTTTTCCATCTCTGTCATTATGGAACATTTATCTGGATCTTCCTGCTAACGGTGTCTAGTGCTTTTGCTGCATAATTGCTGTCAAATTATGCCAGGCCAACATTAAATATTTGACTCCTTAATACTTTTTACTTTTCAGCAGGGCTATCTCCCTGCTGCCTCGCACCCCCAGCTCACTTTGGAATTAACAGGAGAGAGAAAATGCAAAATTGTTCCACACAAAGATAATTATCATAAAAATCTTTCCTCCCAACCCCAGCCAAACACAGCAGACCCCTTATCACTGCAGGAATTTTGAGTAGGGCACTTGAACTCCTTTGAGATTCGAGTCTGGTAGATTAGCATGTAGATGCCACATAATTGTGTTCCCCTTGGTTTCTCTGAAAGCTATTAGGCACTGATTTATTTTTCTGTTACATTCCTGCTTTGTCCTGAGTGTTGCTGATGGAACTTCAGATAGGCACATACAACCATAGGTTTGACAAACACGACACTGAGAACAGGCAGCAATTTCGGTGTGACTGGGGCTGCTCTTTTCTTTGCAGCCCCTTCTCCCTGTCACAGTTCCCTTTGTGAAGGGCAGTATTTTTGTTTTAAAAAAGGGGGAGACTTTAATGAGAACGTGCTTTGAAGGGTGACCTTTTTATTTTTTGGTACTTACAGGCAGGGAGAAAAAAAGGAACAGTTGAATGAACCTGGAGCCTACAAAGTGAGTGTGAGATGCAGACACAGAATCAGCATCAGGTCTCACCTCGGCCCTGAGCTGGTTTAGGTTTCAGTTTTGCAGGGCATGGGCTGGTCCTAAGCCAGGCTCAGGTCCTTTCCTTGCAGGGTGTTTGTTGAGGAGTCTGGTTTGGGATTTGCTGGGAATGCCAGAGGAATGGGGGATGGACTTGGAGCAGTTGTCATGGAATGGTTTGGGAGCTGAAGGATGATTTTATCCCACCCCATGCCATGGAGGACATCTTCCACTGTCCCAGGCTGCTCCAATCTCCTCCAGCCTGGCCTTGGGCACTGCCAGGGATCCAGGGGCAGCCACAGCTGCTGTCCCAGGGCCTCCCCACCCTCAGCTGCTCTCCCACCTCATCGGCTTCTCCTCTCTTCAGCCTGAGTGTCACAGGCATCTTTTATGGAAAATCCTTTCCTTAGGATTTTTCCTCCTGAGAAGCTGAGAAGCCTCAGGAACAAAATGTAAACAATGGTTATCTGCTGCTGTGGATTGCAACAGGTGCATCTGGGATTGGTCTCATGTGGTTGTTTCTAATTAATGGCCAATCACAGCCCAGCTGGTTCGGACAGAGAGCTGAGCCACAAACCTTTGTTATCATTCTTTTCTATTCTATTCTTAGCCAGCCTTCTGATGAAACCTTTTCTTCTATTCTTTTAGTATAGTTTAGTTTTAATATAATATATATGATAAAATAATAAATCAGCCTTCTGAAACATGGAGTCAGATCCTCGTCTCTTCCCTCATCCAAAAACCCCTGTGAACACCATCACATCTGAGCATCAAAACAGGTTTTACAACCACAGGCAACATGAAGAACACGTGGCTACAAGGCTTTTAATCATATTTTTGTCAGCTCTCTAAGCCTCCTTTCAATACAAATTTCTTTTTCCAAACCCAGATACTCTGAAGCACAGGAATTGCTTTTCCTCTCCTCCATCTTTTCCACCTGTGTAAAAGCTGCTGTGTTTGATGTCCTCTTGGATTCTGAGTGATTTGGGTGAGATATAGCAAAGAAACAGGAGAATGAGAAGCTAAATCTCTTTTCTAAAATATTCTTGAGGCAATTAAGATATTTCACCTCTTTGCTCTGTAAGCTCACAGAAAGGACAAAATTCTGTCATTGTCACTGGTAAGAGCAGGGAAGGGGAGGAAGTTTTCCAGCTTCAGCCAGGTATGGAGGAAATTACTCTCCATGGCTGCTTGTCCAAACCCAGAGAGGATTTCTGCTTCCTACAGGAGAGTTTGGGTGAAATAAGCAGCAATTAATCATGTAAATCTCAAACTGGACCAGGGAGAATCCCACCTGGATTTGTGGAGGGAATTTTGTTGCGTTTTCTCTGAAGTCAAAAGAAAGGAAAGGGGAAAAAAAATCTGTTTCCTCCATTCCATGTGTTTTCAGGTCTGGGGATTTGCCAGGTGGAGCTTGAGGGACGCTGGGAGTTTGGTAGGAGCTTGTTAAGAGGTGAAGGGACCTGGGGCTTCCCAGCCTGGAGGATTTCAGTCACTCCTCCAAAAATTCCTCCCTGGTTAAGCCACTGCTGCATTTACAAGAGAGAAAAGAGGGGAAATGTTGGCTCTGAGGTGGAGAAACACCTTAGTAGAGAAATTCCACGTCTGTGGAGTTTGATGCCACATTTTTTACTTCTTTTCACTCATAAAAAGCAATTTGGATTATTTTAATGGTAGTAAAGTAGTTTGGGTCATTTCAATAGTAGTATCTCCATTCTGCTGTTATTGGTGTCCTGATTTCCAGGTTTCCCTCCCCAGGGACATGAAACACATGGGATACACATTGGTCCTGCTCTACAAAATGCAGGAAAGAAGAGAATTTCTCTGAGGAGCAGAGTGGGGCCTGACCCGTCCTACAGTGAGGCTGCTGGCAGCAATCTCAGAGTGTATAAACCTTGAAATGAGCTGAAATGAGAACAACTGGGGATTTTCTTTCCTCAGGTCTTCTTTTTTAGTCAAAATCCCTTTGTTGACTGGCTGGACTTCATTTCTTTTTGCATCCCTCTGTTGTGAGCTGAGGAGATACTGCAGCCCTGTGGGACCATCCATGAGGGGTGTGGGTGGCTCTCTCAGCCCTGGGCAGGGATGCTCAAACCTCTGCCAAACCCCCAAAGTCAGAGCTCCTTTATTCTGTAAGTAAAGTTTTGTATCAGGTTCTATTATTCAGGAAAAAATCAACCAGTACTGAGAGATGTTTCTTCACATCACCCAATGTACAAAACCCAATCCTTTTGGTGCAATGACACTTCTGAAGTTCCACCTACGCTTAAGTCTGCTTCTCTCCAACTACCACAGGGGATATTTTTCATTTCAGGGGATATTTTGCCTGTCCTTCCATCAAATATTGAGGGTGGCTCAGCCCCCTGGCTCAGCCAGGCTGAGTTTTGGTGATACTTTCTTTTTCAGGGGGGTTTGATTTTCCCCATGTCAGTATTTTCCGTGTAGGTGTGCAGAGGGTGCAGAGGGTGCAGAGGGTGCAGAGGGTTTCCTCTGCCCACATCACTGCTGCAGCTGCCTCTGGGACCTTGCCTTGCTCAGTTTTAAGCTCAGGTTTAAGCAGAGAAAAGAGAGATATGAGGTGAGTACCCAGATGGGAGCACAGAGGTCTCTGAGTGTGACACTGCCTGTGGTTCCACTCCTGTCACACTCAGAACAAAATTAACCCTGATTTATATAAAACACAATTCCAGGCCTTAAAGCTCAGCCTTTTTTGCTCAGTTTTAAACTCGGTTTTAAGCAGAGAAAAGGGAGATAGGAGGTGAGTACCAAGGTAGGAGCACAGGGTGTGACACTGCACATGGTTCCACTCCTGTAACACTTATAACAAAATTTATCCTGATTTATATAAAACACCGTTCCAGGCCTTAAAGCTCCGCCTAAGTTCTTGCAGTTGTGCAAGATTTCATGTAAACAAGTGCAAGGGGGGACTTTGAAGCAAAGGGGTTGAAGATTTTACCCCAAGAACATGAGCATGGCCACCTCCCACCGCAGGGAATGGGGTGCAGAGCAGGGAATGGATCAGCTCCAGCCCAGCATCACCTCTGGCTGCAGCTCTCAGAATATTCCCACTCCTCCCTCAGAGATAAGGCTGCTCCTTCTGGGAGTGCAGCTATCAGAAAAAGAGAACCTCAGAGCGTGGAGGAAGAGGGTAGGGGAGGACAGGGAAACGTGGCTCCAGTGACTCACAGGGGGCTGGAAAGCTTCTGTTCCAGGGTGGAGAAACCCAGAGCTATCCCGACTCCCTCACAGAGCTTGTTCTCCTGGAAAATTTACAGCTCTGAGCTGATTGTTTGGCTTGGCACCGTGGTCAGGATGCTGCCTTGTAAACTTAATAATAGCTGCCCTCTTTTTAATTTGTTTGACCTTGACTACAGTAATTTATTATGTGCATTAGAACTTTAAAAAAAAATAAATAAAGGGGAAAAAAAAAAAAAAGCAAAGAGCACAGCAACAAAGCCTTTGGCTCCCTGCTCTTCCTTCCATGGTGCTCTGGGCTGGGACTCCTCGGGCTGATGGAGCCCTGAGCTCCTGCAGTGGAAAATTGAGAAGAGAACATTAGACAGACAATTTCTTAGAAAGAAGCTCCTCCAGGTTTGTGCTGTGGCAGTTTGCTCTTCTCACTGTCTGTGTTTATATGAGCCTGGCTTGTTCCTTTTTCCCTGGCAGCCCCTTTGAGGAAAACTCACCCATAATTTCAAACCCCCTCCTTGCAGACAGGCGCAGCACCCCAAAACGAGCCCAGAATTTTGTGTCTCCCAATCCCCGCAGGTCCCTCCATCTCAGCAGAGGCCAAGACACAAAGAAAACAAGATCTCTGGTTGTGTGATCTGATTTTTTTTTTTCTCTCTTAATGCTTAAAGTGAAAGCAGCTGCTGGCACAGCCTCCCTTGGGTTCTCTCCCCTCTCACTTGCGAATCCTCTCTTTGTTTGTTTGTTTGCTGGCCTGGGGGAGCTTTGCTGCTCCCTGGTTGTGTTTCCCGGGGCAGGGCTGACCATGGGCTGCTGTGTGTGTTGCAGAGGAGCCCTCATTCCGCTGTGAGGACTGTGATGAGCTGTTCCAGTCCAAGCTGGACCTGCGGCGCCACAAGAAGTACGGCTGTGGGGCCGTGGGGGCCCTCTACGAGAGCCTCAGCGACGACATCAAGCAGGAAGGCCTTGGGGATGGACAGGTCTACGAGTGCAAGGACTGTGAGAGGATGTTCCCCAACAAATACAGGTACCCACTGACAGCCAGACCTCCTCTGGCCTCCCCTCTGTGTCCTGGGCAAAGCGGGGCGATGGGTGGTGGGGAGGACTGAAGGGATCAACCTTTCCTTCATCCTTAGAAACCTTTCCTTACTCTGTATAAACTTTTCCTTTCCCCATAGAAACCTTTTCTTCCTCCATAAAAACCTTTCCTATCTCCAAAGAAACCTTTCCTCTTTCCATTGAAATCTTTCCTTTCGCCATAAAAACCTTTCCCTCCTCTGTAGAAACCTTTCCTTCCTCCATAGAAACCTCTCCTTGCTCCATAGAAACCTCTCCTTGCTTCATAGAAACCTTTCTTCTCCCCATAGAAACCTTTCCTTCCTCCATAGAAACCTTTCCTTCCTCTGTAGAAACATTTCCTTCTTCCATAGAAACCTTTCCTTTCTACATAGGCTTTAGAGATGTTCTTTTTGGGATAAACCTTTCTTTCCTCCATAGAAACCTTTCCTTCATAGCATTTCAGAATCTTCTTTCTGGAATAAACCTTTCCTTTCTCCACAGAATTTTAGAATGTTCTTTTTCGGAGAAACCTTTTCTTTTCCCATAGACACTTTTTCTTTTCTCGATAGGCTTTAGGAATGTTCCTTTTGGGATAAACCTGTAATTTCCCCATAGGCACCTTTCCTTCCTCCATAGAACTTCAGAATGCTCCTTTTGGGATCAACTTTTCCTTCCTCCATAAGCTTTAGGAATGTTCTTTTGGGATCAACCTTTCCTTTCCCCATAGACACCTTTCCTTTCTCCACTGCATTTCAGAATGTTCTTTCTGGAAAAAACCTTTCCTTCCTCCATGGGCTTTAGGAATGTTCCTTTGGGATCAACCTTTCCTTTCTCCCTAGTAACCTCCCCTTTCCCTACAGGGTTTAGGAACGTTCACTTTGGGGCCTCTGTAGCTGTTGGGCAGTGTTTTATTCCACCTTGATTTCACAGACCTGTGCTTTTCATTGCCCGTTGGTAGAAGCACCCAAGGGTTGTTGGTGGGAAGTTTTAGGGGTTCTTTTCTGAGAGCCTTGGGTGGATCTTTCTGTCTTGTTCTGAAGGAAAAACCACCAATATTAGTTCAGTCAACATGTGCATGAATGCTTCTTTTAAGTTGAATTCTTGGTCATTTGAGATGAGTGGGTTTAAAGAGGTGTCAATGCCCCAAGAACTCGTGATATGGCCACGAGCTCCTGTTTGATCTGGCAGGAACAATTAAAAAACTCTATCCCAATCAAATTTTTAATTTTCTTTGTGTCCACCAAATGTTCTTGTGACAGCAATGTGAAAAGGAAAAAAAAGAAGATAAATAACTGGAAAATTAACAGGATAACTCCAGCTCATTTTTTAATCTGCAACAATTATTCACTTATTATTATGATCACATGGCAGCTGTAAATAAGAATTAAACTTCTCTTTAAAAGGGAAAATATTTAAACTCAGGTTTTAACTTAAAATTTGATTTTTATTTTAAAGCAGAATGTGGTAGTAATGAAGTGCAGCTTTAACACAGCAATCTTGGAGCTCTCTAATTCATTGGCAAAGTGAGACTCAGATAGTTAAATATTAGGAGCCAGCTTTAAAAGATGAGGAGTTTTTTTAATCAATTTAAGATTGTGTTTATTCGCATCCTAAGCCTTGATAAAAGCCTTTATAAAATTCTATAAAAGCAGAGTTTTCTGTGTTTACCGGAGGCTGAAGTTCTCACATACTCATTTCTTTTGCCTTCTTGGGTGAACAAACCCCCTGCACCACAAAATTTCTTATAAAACTGTGAGAACTGGCAATCCCCTGTCAGGCTCTGCCTGAGCACAGCAAAAACCTCGAGGTTAAAGCCCCTGTTTCGCTTCAGTTTAACATTTAAAAACCTGCATTTGTCACTTTGAACTTAATTACATTGATACTTTCAGCTCTTTGATCTGGGTGAGGAAGTGAGGGAGGAAAAAAATCTATTTTAAAAGATGCAGAGAAAGGTGAGGGCTGCAGAGCATTCCCTGTATCTGCATGGAAAAGGGCTTGGGAGTTGTAGAATCTGGGATGGATCCTGGGATTCCTGAGTGGGATCCTCTTAGCCCAGTGTGGTTTTTTTAATCCTCACCTCGTGGCTCAAATTGGCTACTCTCATTAGAAATAAGAGGCTGCAATTTTCTTCTTTTTTTTTTTTTTAATGACAAGACAAGGAGAACTTCCTTCAAATATTTTCAATATTATGGATTTTAGTAAAAATTCCAATTCTTTTATCTATCTGTGTCAGGAACTCTCTCTTCTTTAGCCTCCAGCACTCTCTAATTTTTATGTTAACTAGGAATAAGTAATAGTTACGTTAACTAGGAAATAACTAATTTTTATGTTAACTAGGAGTAACTAATATTTATGTTAGCTAGGAAATAACTAATTTTTATGTTAACTATGAATAATTAATATTTATGTTAGCTAGGAAATAACTAATTTTTATGTTAACTAGGAATAACTAATTTTTGTGCTAACTAGGAATAATTAATATTTATATTAACTAGGAATAACTAATTTTTATGTTAACTAGGAGATAACCTTTTGAAATGTGTGTGTTGTATCCTATTTGTACCCTTTGTGTATTTCTGGCTCTCTAGGGGGCTCAACTGGCACTGTGGCCTTGGGGTTTTTGCCTTTTATACCCAATATTTTGATATAAGTAACATAAAATTGAATTTTTTTTTTTTTTTTACAAGGGAAAAGAGAGCAGCATCCTCATTCAGCCTTTGACATGCTGGTGGATTGGTGGGGTGGGGAGGAAATGTCCACATCAGTCTCTCCCCCATCAATCTGCCAAGTTTAAAGTCACTAAAACACAAAATAAACCCACTCAGAGTGCCTGGATGGTCTTAGAATTTTTCAAAGTTAACACAGATGAAATCAAGGATGCCACTGGGGACCTGAAATTGAGCATTTAGCAGCTGACTAAATAAATAAATGTTTTGCTAATCCCAGTAGGTACTTGCCTCTGAACAGCGTATTAGCTTGTCCATATTTGCTCAAAATAAACTCATAAATCACAGTTAACAGGACCGTATTTTTGGATGTGAATATGAAAATTTTGTGTTACTTTGTGTGTGTTAAAAATCTGGTCATTTTAAGAGCACCATTTCTTGAGCAAAATGAATATTGCTGCTTTCAAACCAGGGGGTTGGCAGTTTATGAGGGGCATGCCCATGAATATAAATTATCTAGCTGGGATTAGGGCTGGTGCTCCAAGGGAAGGGTTTTGGGTGTTGAGTGACCAAGGCTAAAATGATTCCTGGGATCCTGAAATTGCCAGAAATGCCAAGGTATTATCTTCCCTGAAGACTGGCAGGATTTTCCAGCTTTAATGTTTCTGTAAAATTACAGCCATGATTTAAAGTTCTGTAGGAATGGTTTAATGTCCATGTGTAGGGTATCAGGCAGGAGCAAATTCCATGTAAGCTGTTTTTTGTTTTTTCAGAAGTCACAGTAAGAGTAATGTTTGTAACTCCAGTTAACCTGCCCCAAAGGAAGGAAAGGATGCAGATTTCCTTCCCTTGTTCCTCAGGGCTGGCATTAGATGTGCAGGATTCCTGATCTGAGATGTGCAGGATTTATGGCCAAGAAGTGCAGGATTCTCAGCCTGAAATGTGCAGGATTTCTGGCCAGAAATGTGTAGAATTCCTGGTCTGAGATGTGCAGGATTTCTGGCCTGAAATGTGTAGAATTCCTGGTCTGAGATGTGCAGGATTTCTGTCTGAGAGGTGCAGGATTTCCAGCCTGAGAGGATCAGGATTCCTGGCCTGACATTTCTGCAGGATTTCTGGCCTCAGAGATACAAGATTTAAGGCCTGAGATGTGCAGGATTCCCAGCCCAGGATTATCAGGATTCCTGGCCTGGGATGTGCAGGATTCAAGGCCTCAGACATACAAGATTTAAGGTCTGAGAGATGCAGGATTCCCAACACAAGAGGTGCAGGATTTAAGGCCCAAATTGTGCAGGATTTCTGGATGAGAGGAGCAGGATTCCCAGCCTGAGATGTGCAGGATTCCCAGCCAAGGAGGATCAGGATCCCTGGCCTGGGATGTGCAGGATTCAAGGCCTGAGAGATGCAGGATTTAAGGCCTGAGAGATGCAGGATTTAAGGTTTGAGAGATGCAGGATTCCCAATACGAGAGGTGCAGGATTCCTATCATGAGAAGTGCAGGATTTAAGGTCTGAGAGGTGCAGGATTCCTGGAAATGGAGATGCAGGATTTAAAGTCTGAGAGATGCAGAATTTAAGGTCTGAGATGTGCAGGATTCCCAACATGAGAGGTGCAGGATTCCCAGACTGAGATGTGCAGGATGCCTGGAGACGGAGATGCAGGATTTAAGGTCTGAAAGAAGCAGGATTTAAGGCCTGAATTCTGCAGGATTTCTGACTGAGATGTGCAGGATTCGTGGCCTGAGAGGTGCAGGATTCCCAACATGAGAGATACAAGATTTAATGTCTGAGAGGTGCAGGATTCCCAACACGAAAGATGCAGGATTCCTGGACAGGGAGATGCAGGATTTATTGTCTGAGATGTGCAGGATTCCCCTCATGAGAAGTGCAGGATTCCTGGGCAGGGAGGAGCAGGTTTCCCATGGCACAGGGAGGGCACTGGAGCCCCAGGTGCCACCCCTGCCATGGCCCTGTGCCAGCAGCCACTGGGGATTGCCATCATCCCCTCGGTCTGGAGACTCTCCAGTTGGCAGAAGGTGAAATTGCTGAGTGAAGTAATCAAAGATGTCTGACATTTAGAAGTGAAACGTGTTTGCACCTTATCATGTTTCGTCCCAACGGTGAGTCCCTGTGTTCTGGGAAGCCGTGGGCCTGCTGCCCATGAAAATGGACACATGAGAGGCTCAGCAGCAGCAAATCTTTTCTTTCTCCAGGGGGATGCCACAAAGAAGTGCCCATTCTTCCCTTCAGGGATCTCTAGGGTCACGGCTGGGTTTACTTTCCTTTTCCCCTATGAGAATGGACTCAGGTATTTATAAGAAGCATAAATACCCAGTCATTTTGAGGCAGAACAGGGCATTTTCAACCAATGAAATAAATCTCAAAAACCTCAAATGTTTGGGTGTCACTGCCCTTCTCACAGTCGAGGGGTTTGGAACACAAACCCTGTGAGGAATGATTGAGGGAGCTGAGGGTGCTCAGCCTGGAAAAAAGGAGACTCAGAGGTGACCTTGTTACTCTCTGAAACTCCCTGAAAGGTGGCTTTGTTCAGGAGTTGGGATCTTTCTCCAGGAACTGACACAACCAGAGGACACAGCCTTAAGTTCCACCAAGGGAAATACAGGTTGGATATTGGAGAAAAGTTTTTCACAGAAAGAGTGATAAAGTTCTGGAAAGGTTGCCCAGGGAGGTGGTGGAGTCACCATCCCTGGGTGTGTGTAACAAAGCCTGGATGTGGCACTGGGTGCCAGGGTTTAGTTGAGGGGTTGGGGCTGGGTTGGACCTGATGATCTTGAAGGTCTCTTCCAGCCTGGTCATTCTGTGAATTCTGTGAATTCTGTGAATTCTGTGAGTTGCTCCCTTCCTGCTCTGAGGCACCCAGAAACTGGAAAACCCCCAGGCCCCACAGCTGGCTCTCTGTCACCATCTCTGTCACCTCTCTGGGTCTCAGATCTGCCTCAGTGCCTGCTCTGGGTGGTCTGAAGCTCAGCCTGTGTCTCTTTGCCAGCCTGGAGCAGCACATGGTGATCCACACCGAGGAGAGGGAGTACAAGTGTGACCAGTGTCCCAAGGCTTTCAACTGGAAATCCAACCTGATTCGTCACCAAATGTCTCACGACAGTGGGAAACGGTTTGAATGTGAAAACTGTGTTAAGGTACAGTGAGAACATGGTCAGCTGGGGGATTCACCTGGGGGAGGGTGCTGGGATTTGGGGGTGCAGGACACAGTGTCCATAGGGGGATTCACCTGGGGGAGGGCATTGGGATTTGGGGAAAAGGGTACAGGACACAGATTTCATTAGGAGATTCACCTGGGACCATGAACACTCAAGGAGGTGCCACAGACCTGTCCAACCATGAACACTTAAAGAAGTGCCACAGACCCATCAAACCATGAGCACCACACACTCAGGACTCAGGGAGTTGCCACAGACCTGTCCAACCATGAACACTCAAGGAGGTACCATAGACATGTCCAACCATGAGCACCCCACACACAGGGAGGTGCCAGAGGCCTGTCCAACCATGAACAGTCGAGGAGGTGCCACAGACCTGTTCAATCATGAGCACCACACACTCAGGGAGGTGCCACAGTGTCGTCCAACCATGAACACTCAAAGAGGTACCACAAACCTGTCCAACCATGTGCACCACACACTTGAGGAGGTGCTACAGCCTAGCAGGGCATGAACACTCAAGGAGGTGTCACCGACCTCGAGTCGGAGCACCACACATTCAGGGAGATGCCACAGACCTGTCCAACCATGAGCACTCAAAAAGGTGCCTTAGGCCTGTCCAGCCATGAGCACCACACACTCAGGGAGGTGCCACAGCCTGGCAGGGCACAAACAGAGCTCTTTCATGTCTAGTTCTCCCCTGTCCACTCCGTGCTCCTCAAACCATGAGCAGCACTGAAAAAAAACCTAAAAAAAAAAGAAAAAAAACCCCAAAAAACCACTTTCCACATGCAGACTCCTCTCCTGGTGCTTTCCCCCCCCTCCTGAAGGCGTTTTCCCCCGCAGGTGTTTACGGACCCCAGCAACCTCCAGCGGCACATCCGCTCGCAACACGTGGGCGCGCGGGCCCACGCCTGCCCCGACTGCGGCAAGACCTTCGCCACCTCCTCGGGCCTCAAGCAGCACAAGCACATCCACAGCACTGTCAAACCTTTCATATGTAAGTTGTCACGGCCATCACCAGCCTGTAATTGCAGGGATCCTGCAGGGGCCCCCCCAGCCCTCCCATCCCCGGCCGCTGTAATTTTATAGCTCGGAGCGCAAGATGAATTTTTTTCTCTTTTTTTTTTTGCATGCTCCCCTGTTTTTTCAGTAAACATTCGTGGCAGTTTTTGACTTTCTTGACAAGTTAAAAGCTGAGTCTCTCAGCGGTCACAGCGATGCCATTTTCTCATATCTTTTCTTTCTCTCGTCTTTTTTTTTTTTTTTTTTGCCTTAATCGCTTTCGAATGTTCCTGTTGGTGACATAAATAAATAGCTGGCACAGCCTGATCGAAATGTTTTACAGGGGTGCCTAAAATCCTGGAGCCGATGTAAAGAGCTTGGAATAATCACAGAGATGAGAAGGTGTTTTTTTCCAAAAAGAAATTTTTTTCTTCTTTCTTTACTGCATGTTTCATCTAGATAATGCTGGGAGCCAAATAAACAGCAGATGAACTGTGTCCTCAGCGCTCTCCTTGGTGGGATATTTCCAGAAGGGCATTTTCCCTGGAGAGCCACCCATCTCAGTCCTTGTCATTCCTAGGGCTGTATATTTTTTTTAATTGACACAGCACCCATTGGGTTTGGATAACTGTGCAGGGAGGTGGATGGTGTCACAACAAAGCCCCAGGAACTTTAGGGATCACTTCCTGACACTTCAGAACACGTTGCTCAGGCACGGGCCGGGATCTGGGTTTGATTCCAGGCTTTGATGTTACGGTAAGGAAGCCACTGAACCCACTCCTGCCTTTTTTCCCCTGTTGGAATAATGGGAACAGCATGGAGAAATATCCTGGGAGACTCATTTCATTAATGTCCCGAGGTAATCAGCGTCCTGAGATAATCAGCTGGGTGTCAGCAGAGGAAGAAGAAACTCCTCTCATTCATTTTGCTGCAATCTTTCACTGGGCACATGAAAGGGATAATTTGACTCCCAGGATTGCTGCAGGGGGATGAGGGATTTCTCCTCATAATCTCCTCACTCTCACCTCATCAGAATTAGGGAGTTGTCAGAGCAAATCAGAGTGTGCAACAACTGCAGAGGGATCCTGTCTGGACAGATGTGTCAGGTTGTTTTGTCCATCAATGTGGAATCCATTAACAGCTTCAAATCCACACTGCAGGATTCACCAGGAAGTTAGTTCTTTTTTCCCCCTGTTTTTCCCTTTTTTTTCCCTGTTCAGTGGAAGAAAAAGGGTCTAAGTGCATTGCTGTTTAATTTTTTACAATATTTTATTTGGCTTTCAAAAGACCCCAAACCTGTAACTTTATTACTGCAGAAATCAGGAGGGCAAGAGAGGCCGTTCCACATGGAATTACTACATCATTGGATAACTGGAGATTTAACAGAAATTTCCCAGTTTTCCTCATTTTAGAAGGCTGATGTGAGCTCTCAGAGCTCTAGCACTTCTCTTTAGGGAATTTTGTGCAGTATTTATATATCTAGCAAAAATTCCTGGGGTGAAAGATGGAAGAATTCTTGAATCATGGAATGGTTACAGTTGGAAAAGCCCTCTGAGATCATCAAGTCCAAGCCTTAACCCAACACTGCTGTGCTCATCACTAAACCACATTCCTAAGTGCCACATCCACAGGTATTTTGAGCAATTCCAGGGATGATGATTACTGATTCCCTTGGAAAAAAAGAAAAAAAGCAGAGATTGTTGTATTTAAGAGACAATCATGGAAATTAAATTCAGTAGTGCTGAATTTTCATGTAAAATAAATACAGTAGTTCTTCTTTTAAGAGCTCTGTTTGGGTATTTTTAAAGAAAACTCTTTAAAATGGGGTAAAAAGGCCAAATAAACCTTTTCTTTTCAAGTAGCTGAAATAATACTTACAACAGCCATAAAACTCTGTGTATGCACTAAGAGCAGTTCAGGAGACCTGATCCGAGATTTTAAAGTTATTAGCATTGGCTCAATAATAATCCAAATAATCCAAAAATTAGGATTGGCTCAAACATCCAAACTCTTGTGATGACTTTCTTGTCCTGTTTGTGTTTCCCTGCAGCTCTGGGCTGTGTCAGGGCCAAACAATTAAATACTCTGGGGACAAGACAGCCTGAATTTACAGTGCAGTTAGAAAGTAGAGCCTTCAGTGAAGCTCCTTTGGATTTTGGGGTGCTCATCTGAACTGAAATGTCAAATCCATTGAATTTTATCCACCTCTGCTTTGAATTTCAATTGGAATTTATTATATTATTGTATTTTCTGAGCTGCTAGTGAAATACTCTCCCACCAGTCATTCGATATTCGAGCACTGAAGTAAATCCTAAAGATTTAGGAGAAAATACAGGGAAAATCGTGCTCACATGCACCTATCAGTAAAGCTGGGAGGAAGGAAGGAGCACTGAGCAGTCCCTGAGCTGGAGTGTCAGAACTTGGATTCATGTCCTTGCCTGTCCAAGCACAAACAATGTCCTTCCCCTGCTTTGTCTCAGTTTCCCTGCTCACAAAAGGGTGATAACAGCAGTTCCCCGGGGGAAGGAGCGTGCTAACTCACCACCACGTTTATTCCCATGTTGAAAGAGGCACCAGATAATAAAAAAGTCACTGTGTTTTGATGTGTAGAAAAGTTTTGGGGTGGGATTTCTGTCTCGCTTTGCCCTGTTTCTTCCACAGCAGCAAGTCTGGAGGTGAAAAAGGGGTCATAAAAATCCATGTTTTGAAAGCTTGGTATTTACAGGTTGTTAGAGAAAACACTGATGTGGCTTCAGTTAGTGGGGCAGGGGTGTTTGACTGATTTAAAGGATTTAAAAAAGAGATCCCAGTGCTGGCAGAAGCCAGGGGATTTATAGAGCATCCCCCTGCAGGGGTTGTGTACCACTGAGGGCATTAAGGAAGGGCAGGTTTGATTAAATGAGGCAAAGCTCTCCCTCCAGCCCTCAGTGCTTCCTGCCATGTTAGGACTAATAGGAAGCAGATAAGCTGGGATAAATAGATGTTATCACTAAAAATGTATGATTAGGGCAAAGATGTTCTGAGGGGAGTGGAGCATCTTCCCTCTGGATCTGGGCTGAGGGATTTCTTCAGCCTGGAGAAGGTTGTGTGGAGGTCTCACAGCACCTTCCAGGACCTGCAGTGGAGACAGGGAAGCTGGAGAGGGACTTTGGAGCGACAGGACAAGGGGAATGCATTCAAACTGAAGTTTGAATTTAAGTTGGATAGACAGAAGAATTCTTCCCTGTGAGGGTGGCAAAGCCTGGCACAGGTTTTCCAGAGTAGCTGTGGCTGCCTCTGGATCCCTGGAAGTCTCCAAGGTCAGGAACAACCTGGGACAGTGGGAGGTGTCCCTGCCCATGGCAGTGTGTGGGATGAGATGGGCTTTATGCCCCTCTCAACCAGACCATGATAATCTTCCCTGAAAATTCCCCCAGACTTTGAGCAGAGCTAGCACATCCCCTCAGATTTCTGTGGATTGAGAGATTCTCCAGGATCGGTTTAATCCAAAGGGAGAGGCGGTGATGTTCCACTGCTCTTCAGGGTGGGGAGATCTCAGGGATGGGGCAGTGTGGGGACAGGCTGGTGAATCCCTGCCATTTTTTCCTGTTAATTTCATATGGCTTTTGTTGTTGGTTCCTGTTGACGCTTTAGGTGAGGTCTGTCACAAGTCCTACACGCAGTTCTCCAACCTGTGCCGCCACAAGCGGATGCACGCAGACTGCCGCACCCAGATCAAGTGCAAGGACTGCGGGCAGATGTTCAGCACTACCTCCTCCCTCAACAAGCACCGGCGCTTCTGCGAGGGCAAGAACCATTACAGCCCCGCCGGCATCTTCGCCCCCGGCCTCCCCCTCACGCCCACCTCCATCATGGACAAATCCAAGCCCTCTCCCAACCTCAACCACGCCAGCCTGGGCTTTAATGAGTATTTCCCGTCCCGCCCGCACCCTGGCGGGCTCCCGTTCTCGCCAGCACCTCCAGCATTCCCCGCCCTCACCCCGGGATTTCCTGGGATTTTTCCACCTTCTCTGTACCCCAGGCCCCCCTTGTTACCGCCCACACAGCTGCTCAAAAGTCCCCTCAACCACACTCCGGACGCGAAGCTCCCCAGCCCCCTCGGGAACCCGGCGTTGCCCCTGATCTCCGCAGTGAGCAACAGCAATCAGGCTCCTTCAGGGGAGGAGAAATGTGAAAGCAGCCTGGAAAACTCCTACCTGGAGAAGCTAAAAGCCAGGAACAGTGACATGTCCGATGGCAGTGACTTTGAGGATGTCAATACGACCACGGGCACAGATCTGGACACCACGACCGGCACGGGCTCTGACCTGGACAGTGACGCGGAGAGTGACAGGGACAAAACGAAAGACAAGAGCAAACAAATGGAGACCAAGCCAGATTTTGTCAGCAGCTCGGTGTCTGCCAGCTCCACCAACACCACGAGCGAGATCCCTCTCTTCTATTCTCAGCATTCCTTCTTTCCTCCCCCCGAGGAGCACCTGCTGCCCGCCACGGGCGCTGCCAATGACTCCATTAAAGCTATCGCCTCCATCGCAGAGAAGTATTTTGGGCCTGGCTTTATGGGCATGCAGGAGAAAAAGATGGGTTCGCTCCCGTATCATTCCATGTTCCCCTTCCAGTTCCTCCCCAATTTCCCCCACTCCCTCTACCCTTTCACGGAGCGGACCCTCAACCACAACTTGCTGGTCAAGGCAGAACCAAAGTCACCCAGGGACCTCCACAAAGTCGGTGGCACCAGCTCGGAGTCCCCCTTCGATCTCACCACGAAGCCAAAAGAGATTAAGCCAATCCTGCCGCCCCCCAAGGTCCTCCCAGCCCCGTCCTCAGGGGAGGAGCAGCCACTGGATCTGAGCATTGGCAACCGCATCCGAGCCAGCCAGAATGGAGGGAGAGAGCCACGGAAAAACCACATTTATGGGGAGAGGAAGCTGATGGCAAGTGAGGTCTTACCTAAGATTTCCCAGTCCCAGCTGCCTCAGCAGCCTTCCCTGCACTACGCTAAGCCATCGCCCTTTTTCATGGACCCCATCTACAGGTATTAACATACCCTGCCTTAAGCCTTTCCCTAACCAGCTCCTTTTCCAGCTGACACCACACCCTGAGGCAGGGGAGGATGCAGGTTGGTTGGGAAGAACAGTTGAGCATCTCCTGTTGCTGTTTGTACTTCTCCATACTTTGAATTTCCTGAATGGAAAGGCCTGAGTAATTGCAAGGAGCCCTCATAATCAGTGTGTAAAGAACACATCCTTATTTTGATAAAGAAGAAACTTGACCTATTTAAGGACTCTCCCACGAGCCATCGCTAAGATGGCACTTCTGCTGGAGAAATTCCAGAGGTTTGATTCGATAAGAATGCAGAGTTCAGATTGCCTTGGAGCCCTGGGCTCTCATGGCTTGGGAATGAGTCAGGAGCCCTGGGAGCCTGGAAATGCAGCTCTCCCACTGACTGTCTCAAGGGCCTTTTGTGAGCCAGTTCACCTTCCTTTCTCCCTCCTTCCCTTTTCCTTTCTAATGCCATTTCTTGGGTTTTTTTCCGAGCTGCTGGTGCAGACCCAACCTGCCGAAACACGTTACTCTTGGAGTAACAAGTACTGTGTAAACACATGGTAGCGTGTTACTACCCAGATCTCTCCCAGATAGATTTCTCACAGATTTATCTTTCTTGGGAGATAACAAGGCCTTTCTGGTGTCACTTGAACAGATGGTTCTGAGGAGGGCCTGATGCGTTACGTCAGAATGAGCTGAGCATGGAAGGCGTGTGTAGAGCAGGCTGGGTGAAGTTATCCAAATGTCAGCTCAACTTACAGAAGGAATCAGTTCAGGAGGAAGCAAAAAGGGAAGACTTTAGCCTCTTGTTGCTTGAGAGATTTTTACAAAACCTATTCCCAAAGGAAAACTATTATAACTTTGTGGTGAGGGTAACAGTAAATTGGTGTGTTACCCATCCAGGCATTCCCTTTGGATAAGGTGGACATGGCACATTTAATTTTAGCAAAGCCCAGTGAAAAGGCATGTCCTGAACTAGTTTGATTTAGACATTAACACATCTGAATTAGCCATTACCATGTCTAAATGCTCCACAGCATTCATCTGGATATGTGTGCTTGTCCTGGAGCACTCCTGAATTCAGTTCATGGAGGTGAATGCTTTGTCCTTGCATTCCTTGTGCTGAATGCCTGGTGATCCTTGCTGTGCCCAGCCTGCTCGGAGGTTTCTGGCTGTTCCCTTGCAGGATCAGCCTCATCCCTGGCACTGGAAATCCTCAGAGCCACCATGGTGTGATGGTGGCATGGGCACTCAGAGGGCTGTGAGCACCACGACAGCCCAAGGCTGATAACTGTGGGAAAAAGTGATGTCAGTGTCTGGCCAGGCCAAGGAGCTGTCGGCTGGGATGAGGATTAGTGAGCCCTCACTGCTGGCTAAATGAGTGTCTCTGGCTCTGCCAGCTCACGGGGGTGACGTGCCCACACTGTGCCATCTGAGATGGGGACACCTCAGGAGGTGCCGTGTCCTGCCTGGCACCCACCATGGCCATCTCCTCCTGGAGATATCAGGCATGGTGGGAACAGCGTTCATAAAAAGTACTCCTTGAGGGGGGAAAGAAAATAATCAATAAATGGGATAGAAAGGCAAAAGAATCCTTGTAGGGTCCTGCCACCTCTGGGCATTCTCAGCAGGAATGCTGAAATAACACGGCTTGGAAAAGCCGCTGCCAATTAAAACAGCGGCCTCGGGAAAACCGTAAAGGCCCAGAAGACAGATGGAAGTGAAGGATGGGGGCATCGTTTGTTGCATTCCATGGGATGCACATAGTTTTAGTCATGTGTTAAAATAGAAAGTCAGCGGTGGCGTTGCTCGCGAATCAGACTTCTGATGTAATGAGCGAAACAGCCCAGCTTCCAAGTCCCAGCTTGAAAAATATGGAAATATTTTGTTTCTAAACTTCCCTTTATCAGACTCTCTCACATCATTTGGCTCCTCCGTTTTTTTTTTCTCCCAAAGGCCACTTAAATCCTTGACATTTTCTCCTGGTGATATAATTTAATGCGGCCAGACAGTCTGAAATGGGGGCAGTTTTTAGCTCAGCCCGTGGGGGTGACGTTCTCAGGCACTGGGCTGAAACCGTTGGCTTAATCCTCCAGGCGCTGCGGAATTCGGCTCTGACGGGGACGTTTGGACCTCGTGTTTCCATTCCTGGGGCTGGGAGATGGCAGCGATGGGGAAATGCTGTCAATTCACCAGGTTTTACGCACACGGAGCAGGCAGGGCTCTGCTGGGATCAGGGATGTTCCTTTATGGAAGAGCAAAGCTGGGCTGGTCAGAAGGGCTCAGGGAGCAACTTTTTACTTATTCTTTGGGTTTTTTGGCAACTCAGACCCGTAAAAGCACGTACCTTCCAAAGCCCCCTAATTCTGGCTGCGTTTCCAATCCAGCTCTTCTCTTTTCCCTCTACCCAAGAAGAATTAAATGCAGATTAAGCACAGTTCGCTGACTGCACTCGGCAGGGCTCTTCTTTAAACTCTTTGGTAATTTGATCCACACACCAATCAGCTGAAATGCAGCAAAAATAATTTGCTCTCAATTTATGCTAGACTAATGTAGTTAAAAATCACTCTTACTCTTGGATTTCTGCTGCTTTAGCTGGATGGACTCAATTCCAACCCTTTAAAGATGCAGCTGTGTTTGTTGGAGTTACTTCCTCAACACTTTTTTTTCCCTTAGAGAACATCTCAGTTTGTCTTTTTTGTGATTCCACACCTCCATTTCCCTGTAAGTAGAATATTTTGTGGAAGCAAAGCCAATATTTTCAAAAATAGGAGCCTCACTTTAGGGTCATTTCTGCATCTCAGATGCTTAAACACGAAATATTTGAGTGGGCCAAGGTGATATCAGAAGAACTCAGGTTTCTGAGCCACTTCAGAATTCTCCCACCAGTCCCTCACTTTTTAAATCGTTGTTCACATGGGCTTGCCAAAGAAACTCAATGCAAATTATGTCTCAGCTGCGAGGGAGGAAACAAATATGAAACACCTAATGATTTCAGCACGCTTGGGGCTGCAGAGTCTGGCCCAGTGTTAGCTCTTCAGATAAATGCAAAGTCTCAAAGACAATTTTATTTTTTTTTCCATGCGGGGGCTGCCTGCTGTGGACCCTAGAGCTTCTCCTGCTCAGACAGTTTTGCTCTAAACGCAAGGTTTTCCATGACCTTTCACAACAGCAGAGGTTTACAAACCACTGCAGAAGAGCAGGAGCAAAATGTTTTCTTAGTCATCAGCCTGAAGGCTAAGAAAATTACTGCCCAAAGGAGGGGATTGATGTTCATGTTGTTCCCAGTGCTTTTTGTGGGGCAATTGTGCATCAGATTCAGTAGTGTCCAGGAGAAGGGGGTGTAAGATGTTTTTGTGAGTAAGAGAATAACCCTGTGTGCAATTTCAGCCCAGTGTGGCTGTGTGGGGCTGCCTGTGGGGTATGTAACCCTCTGTGTTGTTGTCCAGCAGGGTGGAGAAGCGGAAGGTGACAGACCCCGTGGGTGCCCTCAAGGAGAAGTACCTGCGACCCTCCCCGCTGCTTTTTCACCCCCAGGTAAAAGCAGGGATGCTGTTGATGGAATGCTGGGGTGGAGCTGGTACACACTGGGATCACTGGGATCATTGGGATCAGGCTCCTCCTCATCCTAAGACCTGACTGGAAACTCCACTGTTCTCCACCAGTTCCTTCCAGACACATTTAATTCCCAGTTTGAGGATGATGGCAGCTGTACCAGAAACACAGGGATGAGGTCTGGGCAGTTCATAGGCTCTGCCAAACTCCACAGCTCACAATGCCTGCGTGGTTTTTCCTTTGGGAACACCTGGGGGTGTAATTTGCAGTGGTAGAAGGTGGAGAAGGACTGCCCAGCCCCAAGGCAGCAGCATTTTCCACCTTCCTGAATTTCCCACATCATGAGGAGAGTGTGGCAGTGCAGGGCAGTGGGTTCAGCTGTGCGTGTCCCTCCTGCTATGCCCAGGCTGAGATCCCAGCTCCCTGCTCCTCATTGTGCTCTCCTTTATAGTCACAAGCATTGTTCTCCCCTGATAATGTTTCCCACCTTAGATAAATAACCTGCAGGTTTGTGAAATCTGGGTCCTGGTGGCTTTCACAGCTAAACTTAGTTCCCGCATTGTTTCGCACCAGCCTCAGAGTTTGGTTAATAACTTCCCCCGATTTTTCCTTCATCCAGGCTGGATAATGGTGACAGGCTGGCCAGGAACATCCTGTGTTTGTGTGGCTTAGAATAGTGGGGATATCTGCCTGTAAAGAATCTGATAGCAGGGAGGAGCCAGCGTGGCAAAGCAACCCAAGGAGACGATGAGAAACATTCAGACCCCAAGCAGGAGCAAGCTCTGGGTGGAAGGTTGTTAACATTGTTCCTGAAACCCTGACCACGTCCTCTTCCCATGGCAGTGGAAAGATCTGCAAGGTCTGGTTATCTCTAGCAGCTTATCACACAGAATAGCCTCAAATTCACAATCACTCCAGCCCAAAGCTTCCTGATAACTGATTTTTAATAATGATTTTTAATAAGGCGGGCGCTGTGCTCAGATCACTCATCTGGAGAGGCGCCGTTCCCATGCTGCAGTCAGTCAGGTATTTCAGACACAGCAAAGGAACATGGGGCATTTTTCCAGAATATAAGAGATTTGTACCACCAGATCCCTTCCAGCATTATCACAGAATCTCCAGTGTTAATATCCTGAGCTGGAAGGACCATCCTGTGCCCTGCACAGGACACCCCAACAATCCCACCCTGTGTCTGAGAGCTCTGGCAGCCTTGAGGCCAATCCAGCATTGCTAAGAATTCTGGATCCTGGATCTTTTCCTAAGAAATCACATTTTCAGGGTTCCTGCTTCTGCTTTCTTCATTAGGACCAACGTTCCTGTGCCTGGTCAGTCAGAGTCACGTTCTACCCAGGCTTTTCTCACTCCAAACATGAGTCTGGTCTCAGCCTTTTCCTCTGTGACTAATCCCCGGCTCTCTCAGAGTGCCCTCACCGGGATGTGATGAAGCCAGAAGATGTGATAAAAGCGTTCAGAAGATGTTTCCTCTCTCAAAATGAATTTCAGGCAGCTCTTATTTCTTAGCCAGTCGTTGGCAGAAGTTCCTTTGCTCCCTGGGAGTTTTCCTACATTGTCTATTCCAAATGAAACTCTGGACAACATAAATAACCAGTGTAACTTTTTGATAACTTAATGGAAAGCCTTTCCTCACCTGTTAAGTTTCTTTTCTTCCCCCTTTCTGTTTTATTATAACCAGGCAGTTGTTCCCTAAATAGCAAAGTGCCTTTGCCACTGGAGAGGCCGTGGCCAGTGTTTAGAATTTTAAAACCAGCCTACGGCTCTCAAGCCAGCAAATATCTCTGACTAAGTGCCTAAAGAACAGGGCACAACAAAGGAGAGCTCCAGGTACCCTGGTGAAGGGCTGAGAGCTCGGCTCTGAAAGGTCCGGAGAGCTTTTTAACGTGATGGTTTTGTTGCATGACTGGCAGCTGGGGCAGAGCTGGTGCTGTAAATGATCAAGTAACCTTTTCAAGTGGCTGGTGCTAAGTATTACTTACTATTTATCATGGGCTGGGAGCCTCCAGCTAAGGGGCTGTGGATCTATTATCGAGAAATGGGGGTTACTACTCCTCTTTTTTAACAGCTTATGAATGCTTGTCAGCCCTCACAATGTCTTCAGGGGTGATTAAGACAACTTTTTTTTTCACAGCCATATATTTTTAAACAATATCTTGGCTCTCTTCCCCCTCTTCCCCCCCCTCCAATCCTTTTAAAGCCCAGTTTAATAAAGTGTAAACGTGCAAAAGGTCAGCCCTTCCTGTACAATCGAGCATCTCGGGGTGATGTATGGCTTCCTACTGCCTTCCGCTCCTCGCTGCCGCCCCGGCTGCCTCCGCCTGTCCCACTGATGTCAGCGCGGCCAGGAGGCAGCTTTATTGCTGCCTTGTTTGTTTTAGCCCTCTCTTCTGCCCCTGGTATCTCCAGAGTGCTCTCAGGAGTGCACAGAGCTGGACGTCGGAGGAGCCGGCGTTGTTCTCCGAGCCGCGCTGCTCTCTCGGACTTGGATTTCCTGTTGCGCTGTAATGAAAGTAAAAGTGCTGTTTTTTAGGCAGGGTTTTTATACAGATTCATTTTTTACTTTTTTGCACATGGCCCAGCTTCATTCTTTCCTTTTCTGCTTTCTTCTGTATCTCCAGGGTTTTCCCTTTCTCCCTCTTTCTAGTGAGGTGTTTAATCTCGTGCCTGTGAGAACAAGGCCAAGTCACACAAACTGAATCTGATCAAGCATCCAGGGACATTGTGCTTGGTGTCTGAGCTCCAGGCCTGCATGCCAGCTGCTCCCACCCCAAAGGGATGTGTAGGTGTTGCCCCTCCTGCCCGTAACTCACCCAGCCACCGCTCACATCCAGGGGTTTGGCTGGAGCTCCCTTTCACTCCAGGAAACTCAGCAACCTCCCACCCATCCTTCCATCACCTTTAGGAGCTGCTGAACCTTTCCTAGCCATAATGAAAGTGTTGGCCTCTTCACCAGCAAGCTCCCTGTGGATCCACTCCATCCTGAGCCTGATCCCAACTCCTCCTCTTCCCCTCTTCCTCTCCTCTCTCAGCTCCCATCACACATCCTTCCCACTCCACTCTGGCCAGGATTCTTCTGCTTTGGGCCCAAAACTTTCCTGTTCCCCCTCTCCAGGGGTTGTGTCCCTGCCTGCCCACCCACCCCTCACTGCCCTGTCCTTCTGAGCCCTTGGGATGCTGTAGGAGAAATCAGAACTCCCAAGACTTTGGTACTGAGTCTGACCATGGTGTTTAGTTTCAGAGTTTTCCTGGTAAAAAATTCAGTTGAATTCCTGATAGAAAATGGATGTCTCAGGTGTACTCTGAGATAATTTTTGAAAGTGAGCTCATGCACACTGCAGAAAGTGAACAAGTGCTCATTTCTGGCTTTGCCTGGCTTTGCCAGTTGTGCCTTTCCTGCTTTCTCCACGACCAATACACTACTCCAGTCATTCCTGGCTGGATCCAGTGGCTCCATTTCCCACCGTGCCTCCAACTTCCAAGAGAGCCAACACCAGCAGGAGGCTTTGCCCAACCAAAACCGGTGTTTCGTGCATCAGATCTTGCCCTTCCTGGGGATTCCTCTGACAGCAGCTATCACCTTGTCCTTGCAGATGTCAGCCATCGAGACGATGACAGAGAAACTGGAGAGCTTTGCAGCCATGAAGGCCGACTCTGGCTCGTCCCTGCAGCCCCTTCCCCACCACCCCTTCAACTTCAGATCGCCGCCGCCAACGCTCTCCGACCCCATCCTGCGCAAGGGCAAGGAGCGCTACACCTGCAGGTGAGCCGGGCACCCCACGGCATCCACGCTGACCCCCAGGGCATGGAAACACCCCAGGGATGTGGGAATACCCCAGGATGTGCCATCCCAGCTGGGCACTGGGCACCAGCAGGGAGAGGAGCAGCTCCGCACTGACATCTCCGCCAGGAGCGGTGGAATTAGAGCAGAGCTGGGATGACTAATTCCCTCTGAAATAGCTTGTTTTGTCTGGTAGGAAATCAGCATCTTCTGTTTGCTTTGTAATTTTTAATAACCTTGGGAGCAGATCTGGAGATTCTCAAGCAGACCCAGCTCTCCAGGCCAAGTCTCTGGTGTGCAGCAACAAGCGCCAGTCCTGTCTATAACCAACCTCAGCTATGGAAAAATGATTGAATTTTAAAACATGGCATGCAGGAAACAAATTTTCAAACTGTTCTATCCACAGAACTCCTCATAGACCCATCCAACTTCAAATTGGAGCAGATCAAGGGTATTTAATAATAAACTGTCTGCTCTCACAGTTTTACCTCAAAGTTCTCATGGTGGCTCCTGCTGAGGGGATTTTTTTGGGTGCAGAAAGTGGGTACAAACTTTGGTTGATGTGTCTCTTATGTTCAACTTTGCCACAAGAGCTACAGGCTCAGATTTCAGTTGAGTATTTAGAAATTTGAGGTTTCTATTTACAAAAGGGACTAAACTTAAATTTTAGATGCACAAGTTAACATTTGGATTTTTGTTGCTGGGGAGCACTCACATTAACTGCTCATCTTCAGGACAGCTGAAGGTCTCTGAAATAAGGAAAGTCTGTCATGGTTTCCTCCTACAAAAGGAGTTGTTATTTCCCAATTAGTGTTTTTATTTATACCTTTTTGATTTTACTGTGAGCTGGATTTATGGGGGAACACAATTCCTTCCTTTATTAATTTCCTACGGCTGCATTTCCTCGCTCTAAGCAGCTGTCAGCCTCCTAACCCATAGTGCTGCAGCCTTTATCCAGAGAAAATTCTGTGAATTCCAAGGATGAAAGAGCAGATTCTGTTTGATGAGCACATCAACAGGGCTATAAAGGAGATGCAGAAACATCTCAAGTGCCAATCTGCCCAAGCAGTGATTAAACCCTCTGTTCCCTGATGCAAGAATGCTGTAGTTAAACCCTGCCTTCAAGTGCCTTGTCCACACTTCCTTTGAACACTTCCAGGGATAGTGATTCCACCACCTCCCTGGGTATCCCATTCCAACTGTCTGACAAGCTTTTCTGTGAAAAAAAATCCCAAGTATCCAATCCAAACCTCCTATAGTGCAACTTGGGGCTGTTTCCTATTGTCCTGTCCCCATTCTGTGGGAGCAGCAGAACCCCACCTGGCTGCACCCTTCTGTCAGGGAGTTGTAGGAGTCAGAATGTTCTTCCTGAGTTTCCTTTTCTCCAGGCTGAGCCCTCCCAGCTCCCTCAGCTGCTCCTGGTGCTCTGTAATCCTGTGACCCTGATGGGAGGTTTGTCCATCCCATCAGGGATGAGCTCATGATGTGAGCACACAAAGGGATTTTGGGAGGGGTGTGAGAATGAGGGGTGCAGGTGGTGCTGTGGCATCTTTCACAGTTCTATTTCCCCAAAATATCCATCCTTATTTCCAAGGCCACCCTTTAAAACTTGTCTCTAGCTCCATTTCTCTCTCAGCAACGTCTGTCCCATCCCATGGCATTTCTAAATCAGCATTTCTTATCTCCAGGTTTGCACACTGTGTGAGTCTTTTGTCAGGTTTGGAGAATTCCCTACAAATCCATTTCCCACAGCATCCTTGGGCTCTCCTGATGGTTTCCTTTGGTTCTCCTGATGGTTTCCTTTGGTTCTCTGTGACCCTGTTCACAGGGGTTCTTGGATGAGGGAAGAGATGAGGATCTGACTCCATGTTTCAGAAGGCTTGATTTATTATTTTATGATATATATTACATTAAAACTATGCTAAAAGATTAGAAGAAAGGATTTCATCAGAAGGCTGATTTATTATTTTATGATATATATTACATTAAAACTATACTAAAAGAATAGAAGAAAAGGTTTCATCAGAAGGCTAACTAAGAATAGAATAGTAAAGAATGATAACAAAGGTTTGTGCCTCGGCTCTCTGTCCGAACCAGCTGACTGTGATTGGCCATTAATTAGAAACAACCAACATGGGCCAATCACAGATGCACCTGTTGCATTCCACTGCAGCGGATAATCAATGTTTATTACAACATTTTGTTCCTGAGGCCTCTCAGCTTCTCAGGAGGAAAAATCCTAAGGAAAGGATTTTCCATTAAAAGATGCCTGCGACCGTTCTCCTGATGGTTTCCTTTGCTTCTCCTGATGGTTTCCTTTGGCTCTCCCTCTCCAGGTACTGTGGCAAGATCTTCCCACGCTCAGCCAACCTGACGAGGCACCTGCGGACACACACTGGGGAGCAGCCTTACAGGTGATGTTGTCCCCCATAAAAAATCCCCTTTCCCAAACACTCCTCACTCACCACTCTGGTATTTTCCCCCCCTCTCCTCTACAAAGCTGTGCCAGCAGAATACCACAGGCCTGGAGCATTACACAGAGTGATTCATAGGGTTGTATATTATGTGTACCAGCCAAAAATAATCAGGCTTGGCAGCTCGAAGATAGACACTTAACTTATATTTAGATGTATGCTGGCAAATGAGGGCTCTGATTTGCAGGGTTGTTTCACACTCACGTTAACCATTCATCTCAAGGACAGCTGAAGGTGCTGAATGGCTCTGAAATTCAGGCTGGTTTGAAGGGCTTGCCAGGACCTTCACTGCTGGGGCTAGCTGGGTTTTTGGAGACTTTTTTCTTTTCTTAATGCACATCAAGAGGTGCCTGGAGTAGGAGATCAAAAAAACAAAGGCTTGGGTTTGATTCTTGATGGTCACTGATTAAATTTTTTTGATTTTCTTTTTTTTGGAGGGCTATGAAGTCACTCAAACTTCTACTTAAGAAGTCTAATTATGTCTAAAGTAGGAATTAATAGCACATGAACAGCATGCTATTGATTCCTACTTTAACATAATATACACGAGGCAAATTCTTTTTATAAAGAGAAAATGCAACATGCCAAAAGGTGTCTATTTACCTGCCTTAAAACTGAATTTTGGTCGTGTCTGAGCTTAAATCATGGAGTTTAAAAGGAGAGTTGGGAGGGGGGGATTCACACAGAGTCTCACACGTTTTTGAGTGTTTAAGGTAGAAAGCTGAGCTATGTTCTGTTAGCTGGGGACAAGGTGATGTGATTTTGATGCTTTAGTGTCCACAAGGACAGCATCCAAGCCCAGTGGCTCCTGCCAAAATCAGGGCTTTAAATCTGAATAAAACTCACAAGAAAATACATTAAATATGCGTGCCTAGGTATATATATAACTATTTCTCTTGGAAATCTTTACCCCCAGCATTTTCTCCCAGCGAGTTGCAAGCAGTTTTAAAAAAATTGAGGGGAAAAAAATGCCTTTTTTGTTAGAATGAAGTCCAGAAATGAGCAAACCTGAAGGAATGATGAATTGAGAGCTTGCTGCAAATCAAGCCTTGTGTTTGCCACAATGTGAGGGAGTGTTTTGCAGGTTGTCAAACAATGGTAACAATTCCATTTCATTTTGGGTAGCTGATATTGCAGCGTTTCATACACAGCCATAAGTTCACAACAAAGCAAATGGAGCAGTTATTAAATAAAGAGAAACACAAATTTATGAGCAGCAAAAGGCCATGTGGTCAAATACATCACATTTTTATGCTCAGTTTAACCTAAGAATTGACTCTCCCACATTGTAATCCCCGCTACGCTGAGAATCACGTTTATTTTCCATCCAGCATTTTTAGTGTAGACATTAGGTAAATTAAAAATCCACCACCACCCCAAAGCAGACATATATTTTGGATTATACCCCTGCTGTGATGTTTGGGGTTGTGTCATTTGATATGCCTGTGTGTTCCCTGTCCACTGCAACCCTCGCTCCTGATTATTCCGAGATCCTTAGTTCAGTTTTCTTCCAAAAAAGGAGACTTGCAACTTAACAAAGGTTAGGAAAATAAAGATTTATTTGATCTGGTCTTCTCCCAGCAAATAGCCTGTGTGGGTTTTTTAGAGGTCTGACTCCTGGACAATGTTGCATTCTAACAGCACTCCGGAGAGCCGGGGCTGCGTTCGCAGACGAGCTTTAATTATCATTGATTTGCTTTTCCTCTCAGAGAACTGAGATTTGCAGCTTTGGCAGCCAGGCTTGTTTTGAGAGCTTGGTTTTTAAGTGCTGGCTTCAGGCAGGTACAAGGAGGCTGCTGATTTCTCAGTGTTTTACTGTTGTCTCCTTTGCAACTTCGTTTTTGATTGTTTAATTATTTTTTCTACCCTATAAAAAAATATTTTTATATACAATAATTTAAGTACTGATCCAAATATTAATTACTTTGTTCTTAAAGACAACAGGCTAGAAAATAAAGGCTTGGATTTGATTCCTGAGGGTCACTGATGAAATTTTTTTGAGTTTATTTGGGGTACTATGAAGTCACTCAAACTTCTACTTAAGTGTAATTATGTATAAAATAGGAATTAATAGCACATTAGCAATAACGAGGCAAATTATTTTTACAAAGAGAAAATGCAGCATGTTTTCTGAGGAGTGATAAATACCTGGTGATGCACTTCCTAAAAATCAAATTATTTGAAAACACTCCAAGCCCCTGTGCCATACAGAGAAATTCAACGTTTCTTTCCACTCTTTTTATTTTTCTGCACCAAACCTGAAATTCTGGACTATGTATTTCAGAATTCAGAGTAAAAAAGCCCTTGGAGGCTTTGTGTCCTGTTATCTGCAATAAGCTGGAACTCAGAGCCACAGCTGACATCTACCATGTCATTTAAATTGCACATAGTTCAATAAATATTGAAGATATTTCTCATTTTCTGGTTTTCAAAACGCAGCCTGAGCTTACCCTGCTAAAAATGCGCTTGAGGCTAGGGAGTCACTCAGAGGGAGAGCTGCTATCCATGTGGGTTTTTTTGGTTTTTTGCTGCAATTCTGCCTCTCCAGCTCACACTGATCACTGCAAAACTTCATGAGAACGACTCGGGAAATGCCCCCCACATTCCCAGGGTTTGCTTTGTCCCAGGTACCCGAGCTCCTGCAGCTCCCAGGATTTCCTGTCCGAGCTCCACAGCTCCAGCCCTGTCCCTCCCTCCCTCTTTGGATGTTTTCAGCTGATAAGGGAGAGGCTTTGTGGGGCTGTTTGCAGAGCAAACACTGCTGCCTCGAGTTTTATTCTTCTCCTCCCTCGCCATTCACCCCTTTCCCTGAATTTCAGCTGGTTCCTCTGCCTGGGCCATTTATTTAGATGAAAACCAGCAGAGCTCCCAGCACTGACCCCTCTGGGACCACAAATAACGCCGGACATCTCCCTCATCCCTTTGCATTCCCTGCTCCTTCCCTGTGCCCCTCTGGTTCCTATTTTTTTAACAAGCTCTTTATCCCTCCCCATTCCCGACCCTGCATCCACATAGCTCATGGTTAGGGCCAGGACCTGTCACAGGGAACTTTTCAAAGGCTTCCTGAACATCTAAATAAATGGATGTGGAGGAGGCCAGGTCGTTGCTTGCCTTGATTTGCTTCTAAATGTCTGGAGCTGCTCCTGGCAGGGACAGCCAGGCTGGGAATATGGATTATCCTGGTGCCCACTGTGCCAGGTATTCCCTGTGCCAGGCACTGGGATTCACAAAAAAAGGGTTTTTTAGGAGCTGGTGATGACAGGCAGGGAGAGAAAACCCCTGGCATCATCAAGGATGAGAAGGAAGCTCCTGGTCTAAGCTGGATAAAACCACTCATTAAAATCCCATGGAAATATCAGGAATATTGGGATATTGGCAGGTTTGGCTACTGCATTTGGCTGGAGTGCTGAACAGGAATCTGAGAGCAAATTCCTTGGTGCTGGAAATCCGTGTTTCACTCTCTGTACAGATTGTTCTTGATAAATCTCCGTGTGATTGTTCTTGCTGATGTTCAAGTAACTCCTTGCTTTCTAGAGTTGTTTGGGGGGTTTTGGAAAAAAAAAGGGGAAACTAAATACTTTAGGAGTCTGGAAATGCTGTGGTTTACAAATTTTGCTCTCTGCCTTGCTTAATCCTAATAAAGGCCCATTATTTGAAATATCTTTATTCTTGTTGGAGATTTAGCAGTAGGAAATTTGGAGGTGGACATGGAATCCATAAACATCCAGTGAGAGAGAGAGAGTGTTTCATAAATGTATCCCCGCTTTTTCCAAAAATAATATCGATTTATTTTTAGAGCCCGAATAAAAATCCCAGCTGGAGCACATCTGGAAAATGGGGGGTGTGTGTTTCACGGCAGGGATCTTTCCCACTCCACTGTTGTGTCTGTAGGGAGGAATCCCATGTCCTCTGTGTCATCCAGCTCCATCCTTGAGTGAGGCAGGAATGGGCTGAGTCTGGAGCTGCTGATACTCCCAAAATCTCCATCTCCATGTCCTGGAGTGCTGGGGGGGCTCTGGCACAGGCTGCCCCATCCCTGGCAGTGTCCAAGGACAGGTTGGAGCCACCTGGGATAGTGGAAAGTGTCCCTGGCCATAGCAGGGGTGGCACTGGATGGGGTTTAGAGTCCCAAAACCATTCTGGAATTCCAGGATTTCCATGGAAGAGTAGCTCAGCTCCGTGGGGCAGATATTGCTGTGGATTAGAGGAGCTCAGAGTGGATTTATTCAGGAATATATCCAGAATCTGGAGCCTGTTGGAATGGGTTCATTCTGGGATTGCAAGGGTTTGGGAAGAGCCGGAATTTTGGAAGCATCCTGGATTTGTGGTGGAGACAGATTCTGCTGCTTGTGGGTTTTGGAAGCAGAGCTGTGGGGCAGCAGCTTTGCTGAGGCACAAGTGACTCAAAGGGAGATGGAACGAGGGATTCGGGCACGAATGAGATTTTTCAGGAGTTTTAGACTCAAACTCTCCAGTGCAGCTCGGAGCTGCCACCTTCAGTCCATCAGTGGCTCCGAACCCTCACACCACCAACCCGTGCAATTCCCATTTATTTGGAGGGATTCTAAACTCCAAAATTCCCAATTCTCATTTATTTGGAGGGAATCTAAACCCAAAAAAGGGGGGTGGTGACTTTGAACAAGCCCCCAGCCCATCTGCCGTGCATTCTGCAGAGATTGAGCTCAGGGAGGGAACGTCTCTCAGCACCCTGAACATCCTGGCTTGGCTCCTTGCATTCATCACAAACCAGATATTCACTCCTAGGAGTAAATCTTACCCTGTTTGGAAAGGATGGTGGATTTCTTTGCTATAAGAATAATTATAATTGCCTTTAAAGCCATGCTGTAATCCCTGCATGTCCAATACCACAAGGAATTTCACAAATAAAGCCAGAATTTTCTGTGTGTCCAGCTAACTGTCATGCAGGGATTTGCTAGTTAATAACTATTTTATACATTTCACCTCCCTTCTTTCTTCTTCTGTCTTCCTTGTCCTCCCTTCTCAGCCATATTTCACCTGATTCCTCTCAAAAAAAAAGTGGAAGGAATAAATCCACCTTTCTCATTCCTACATCCACGCATGGAAAAGTAATTATTGTGTCTCAAGCTCTTATTTGTTTGGACGACTCACTTCCTAATTAATCCTAATCCTTTCTTTGTTCTCCTTGAGTAACAATAATATCAGATTTGTCTGGGATGATTAATGCTTTGTGCTTCCTTCAGCACAATCTTTATTCCCGAGTAAAGATTTATAGACCAACGTTTCCTGGGGTTTTGATAGTCAGATTTTTCTCCTTTTTTTTTTTGTTTTTTTGGGTTATTTTGGGCTTTTTCCTCATGTTGCACCCTTTGCTGCTGTTTTCCAGGTGTAAATACTGTGACAGGTCATTCAGCATTTCCTCCAACCTGCAGAGGCACGTCAGGAACATCCACAACAAGGAGAAGCCATTCAAGTGCCACCTGTGCAACAGGTGCTTTGGGCAGCAGACCAACCTCGACAGGCACCTGAAGAAGCACGAGCATGAAAATGTTCCAGGTAGGAAAACACTCTGGAGAGAGGAGACTCCATGGTCTTGGCTCTTGGGGAGCCTTGCTGGAATGCACTGTCCTCCTAAGGATGAGTTTGTGGGGTTGTTTCTAGAGTTTTTTTGGAAGTTCAAGAAGATAAGTAGGTTTTGTTTTGCACAATTGTGTACATTGTCCATAAATGTGAAATATCATCTGTATTTTGGTCTGGAAAATACAATCTTCCTTTGGGATCTTTGATAGAACGTTCCAAGTAGGGAAACACTCTGGGAATCTCTGAAGAGAGATGACTCCATGGTCTTGGCCCTTGGGAAGCCTCACTGGAATGCACTGGGCATGAGTTTGTGGGGTTGTTTGTAGGGTTTTTTTGGAAGTTCAAAATAAATAGGTTTTGTTTTGACATAAGAAATGAAAGGAAGGAATTGCTGTGATGAAGTGATTTCACAATATGGGTAAAAAATGTATTATGGAAAAGTTGTAGGCAAACAGCTCTGCAATGGTTGTTAAATTGTGTGTATTGTCCATAAATGCTAAACATCACCTGTATTTTGGTCTGGAAAACACAATCTTCCTTTGGGATCTTTGCTCCATGACTTTCCTCTTGAGCATTAAACCACCAATATAAAGCGAGAGGGCTGTTGAGAACATTCTTAATTTGTTTCCTCATAACTCCTGTTGTCTCCCCTGCCCCACAGTGAGCCAGCACTCCGGAGTCATCACCAACCACCTCGGGACCAGCGCCTCCTCCCCCAACTCGGAATCAGACAACCATGCACTTTTAGACGAAAAAGAGGATTCCTATTTCTCAGAAATCAGAAATTTTATTGCCAACAGCGAGATGAATCAAGCGTCGGCTTTAGCAGATAAAAGGTAGGCACGGAAATAAAATTATTATATATAATTATAGATATTTTAATTGTTGAGGATAGAGCCCAGAGAAGGAGGAAGGGTGCTTGTCCCACAAATGTTAATTTTAAGAGATGAAAAATCAGCATTTAAATCAATTTTTGTAGTTCAAAAAGCCTTGGGATTGGTGCATTCTCAACGTGCTCATTGGCCCTGAGGAACAGTGAAGGGTGATTTTTAAATGCCTGAAGCACATTGGTTTTCTTCTTTGTTACATTTTAAATAATATATATGTGTATAAATGTGTCTCTATGTTCAAATCTGTACATAACATTATCAAAGTTTTTCATTACAGTGAGAATATATTATATAAATATTTGTAATCTTTTTTTTCCTTTTCTTTCTTCTTCTTTCTTTCTTTCTTCTTTCTTCTTTCTTCTTTCTTCTTTCTTCTTCCTTCTTTCTTCTTTCTCCTCCCTGCCCTTCAACCAACCATTTCAGGCCAGAAATCCAGGATATTGATGGCAATTCCCAGTGCCACGGACTGGCAAACGAGAAGGCAGAAGATGTGGACGATGAGGACGAAGAACTGGAAGAGGAAGATGATGACAGCCTGACTGGGAAGTCCCAGGACGAGACGGCGTCGCCCACGGCAGAGCCGCGGGGAGCGTTCGAGGATGAGGAGGATGAGGAGCCCACGTCTCTCACCATGAGCTTTGACCACACCCGAAGGTGAGGGGGCCATTCCAGGGGGGCTCAGACCCCTGCCCGTGTCTGTGGTGCATCGTGAGTGCTGTGGGTTTGTTCTCCAAGCCATGCCATGCCTCTGGTTGGATCCAAACCTTCACTCCAGATTCCATTTCATCATTTTGGGGTGAACACGAGACAAGGACTGCAAGGAGAGTTTGGAATGATATCTAAGGCTTGAGGAGTACAAATAGACACAAAACCGAGAGTTTTCAGGGTGCCACAGCTCAGCAGATGTTTTTCTCTCCAAAACTCTGGTCAGGGCAAGGGAAGAGGAGTCATAACAGCCTTTGGTGCTGTTATGGCCCTTTGAGTAGGAGCAAAATATTCTTGGAGCTCTGGCAAAAAGGGGATTCTGCCCCTCTGCCCTGCGCAGGTGAGACCTCACCTGCAGAGCTGCCTCCAGCTCTGGGGCTCCAGCATAGGAAGGACCTGGAGCTGCTGGAGAGAGTCCAGAGGAGGCCCCAGGGTGATCAGAGGGATGGAGCAGCTCTGCTGGGAGGAAAGGCTGAGGGAACTGGGATTGTTCAGCTGGAGCAGAGAAGGCTCCAGGGTGACCTTCCAATGCCTGAAGGAAGCTGCTGGAAATATCAAGGGAGACTCTTTCCAGGGGCCTGGAGTGACAGGACAAGGGGGAATGGATTTACACTGAAAGAGGAGAGATACAGGTTTGATCTTCAGGGGAAATCCTTCCCTGTGCTGAGGCCTGGCACAGGTTTTCCAGAGAAGCTGTGGCTTCCCCATCCCTGAAGTGTCCAAGGCCAGGCTGGACAGGGCTTGGAGCCACCTGGGATAGCCCATTGCAGAGGGTGAAATAAGACAATCTTTAAGGTCCCTCCCAACACAAACCAGATCCCATTATTCTGTAAAAAGTGGAGGACTTTTCGCCCAAGATCAAGCATGTCTGAACACCTTCAAAATGAAAGATTGCTGCACACAGCACAGGCCCAGCTCCCTTTTTGCTGCAGCTTGCCCCAATTTCTGGGGGTATTCCCAGCACAAGCCACACAACACCAAGTGATACCTCACCCAGCTTAAAAGCACTGCTGTTTTTGGTGCAGAACTGTCACCACAGGCTAATAAATTACTTTATTATACTATATTATATTACATTATATTACATTACATCTAACTGAATCTGCCAAACTGCCCAGAATCTCATAACTGTCCCAACAGTCCTGACACACACCTGGATCCAACTGGTCAGTGGATCAAAACACTCACACCAGAATCCAGTCATCAATTCCCTTCAGGTCAACAATCTTCCACCATGCATTCCACTTGTGAACAAACACAGGAGCAGCAAATGACATAAGAATTGCTTTTCCTTTCTCTGAGGTTCAGCGAATGTGAATCCCAGAAATTTCTTGGGAAGATGTGCCTTGCTTTTCTCCGTGAAGGGAAATGTGATGACACAGAACCTCAGACAGAACCTGCTGCTTGTTGCTTTCCACTTTGAGGCAGCTCCGGCATTTTGGGGTCTCCCCAACCCTGGCTGCCCAAGACAGAGAAGTCCAATTAAGCACAACCTGTCCTGGCCCCTCAGGCAGGCTCTAGAGCTGCAAGCTACCTTAGCAAGCTCAGCTCTTACCAAGCTCAGCTCTTTAGTGATTATCAGCTCACTTGTGATTTCAGCTTTCTAAGTGCCTTGGGCAGACACAAGGAGAGAGAGGAGAAGGCTGTGTGAGGTTCCACAAGAGTGTCTTTATTGATGCCCTCTGTGAAGGTCTCAGGGACAGCTCTTCTGCCCAGCTGGGCAAAAGTAGCTCTTTATATACCCTTTATATAGGATATAGGAGTTATATAGGGTATAGGAGTTATATAGGGAATAGGAGTATAGTACTTATATAGGGTATAAGAGTACATCTTTAAATACCCTTTATATAGGTTATAGGAGTTATACAGGGCATAGGAGTGTATCTTTATATACCCTTTATATAGGGTATAGGAGTTATATAGGATATGGGAGTTATATAGGGTACAGGAGTATATCTTTATATGATCTTTATATAGGGTAAAGGAGTTATATAGAGTATAGGAGTATATCTTTATATACTCTTTATATAGGGTATAGGAGTTATATAGGGTATAGGAATATATTTTTATGTACTCTTTATATAGGGTACAGGAATTATATAGGGTATAGGAGTTATATAGGGTATAGGAGTATAGGAGTTATATAGGATATAGGAGTATATCTTTATTTAACCTTTATATAGGGTACAGGAGCTTTAGGAATTGTCCAATAGTAAGGGTCATGGGGAGCATGACCTATACTCTTACAGAGAGATAAGCAAGGGTCTGAAGGTGAAAAGAGGGGCTTCTTAGGTTCAGTCACCATGACCAGGCATTTCCTATTGAGGCACTGCAGGCCCTGTGCCTGCCTCACCACCTCCTCCTCACTCCTCCCCATGCCATGCCGTGTCTGTGTCCGTCTGTCCGTCCCTTCACGCATGTGGCTGGTGAGCCCCCGTGGGTGGTGCATGCAGGCTGTGGGCCAGACGAGCTAACACAGGTCACCCCTTCCCCTGGTCCTTGGTACAGGTGTGTTGAGGAGGACGAAGCCGGCCTGTTAGATTTGGAGCAGATGCCGAATTTTGGGAAGGGGCTGGATCTCCGCAAAGCGGCCGAGGAAGCCTTTGAAGTTAAAGATGTGTTTAATTCCACCTTAGACTCTGAGGCAATAAAACAGACTCTGTACAGGCAGGCTAAAAACCAGGTGGGTATATCCAGAACCTTTTCCTAGCTTGCCACCAGATTAGGGAGCAGCTGCCTCCTCCAGCCAAGGGTTACTTTCTTTATATAAAGATATAAAGTTTATTAGGGAGCAGCTGCCTCCTTCAGCCAAGAGTTATTTTCCCTTTCCAGTGCATTATTTTTCTCTTCCAGAAGGTTATTCCCCCTTTCCAGTACGTTATTTTTCCCTTCCAGAAGGTTATTCCCCCTTTCCAGCAGGAATTCTAGCACACACGCGATTGTGTCTTGTTGCAACTAAATTGAAATATAGGGAGGAAGGGAGTGGGCATCACCTTTAGATGGATTTATCTCAGCCTGTGCAGTGAGAATGGGGCTGTGCAGGAAGAGAGAGTCATTTGTGTGTTTTTATCTGTCTGTATAAATGTTTTTATAACTCCTTATTTATTTATACTTTGGGGTGGCTCTTCTGGTGGTAACCACTGAGGTTTGGTCTGCAGAAACAGCAACAAACTGCCCTTGGGTTTGATTAAAACAGGAGTAAAAGACAAGAATAAACCCAGGACTTGCAACCCAGCATGTCTAGAGGGTATCCCTGTTTATCTCCTTGATTTCTAAAACTAAACCAGAAAATGGAAAAGAAAAATTCACAACTCTGTGAGCCAGATCACTTTAGACTCACCAAAAACCATCAGAATGGCATCTCAGAATTACTGAGATTCTTGGAGTTCTGAGAAAAATCTGGAGGTTTGGGGCAGGTCTGTGTGTGCTTTCTGTTTTTTCATTAGCCAAAATACCCAGTCTGGGTTTATGGAGTTTATCTCTTGTTTTTTCCTCCTTCACGGTGGGTGCCAATAGTGAGACAGGGGAGGGGCTGCTGGAAGAGAGAGCTCAGCAGTTTTTTTGGGGTGATACCCAAGTCAGCCACTTGCCTGACTTCTCTGTCATCTAACATCCCAAATGCACTAATTCTTTGGGAGCAGCTTGGTTTTTTCCCAATGTACCACCCTGCTACAGCCTGTACTTGAATGGGGGAAGGTATTTTTAATTTTTGACTCTTTTTACGCTTGAATCCCAACAAGCAACTCAAATAATTTGACCCATCTTTTGGCAGGTAATACAAATCCTTAGTTTGAACAGCACAGCACTCCATTGGCTTAGCTTTAAGCAATTTTAGAAGTGTGTGTGTGTCCACAAAACCCAAAAATTGTACTTCTTTCCTGAGGCAGAGGGGTGGGGATGATGTGCTCCTCTTTTTCAGGCCATGGGTGACAATGACATTGGTTTTCCCTTCTGCTTTATGAGATTACCATACAGCAGGTGGGCTGAGAAAGGTCACAGAGAGGTGTGTGAGACAATTCTTGTGTCCTGGTGGAGGGAGAGCAGCCAGGTTACAAGGAAGCAGCAGTTTGTTAAGAGGACAAACAAATCTCGCTGCATTTCTCTCACCAGACACCTTTAAGGGTTTCACTGCAGCAATAAACCCGCCCTGGGCACACTGGTCATGAAAATGAGAATTCCACATCCCCAAATATCCACGCTGGCATCATCAGGGGGACCATGGCAGGCTGGATGAGCAGCTGCTCACCACTTCCCACTGGGCATTTCTGCCCCAACCCAGCCTCACTGATCTCTAGGGATGTGATTTTTTAAATAACAAACCCCACTAACAGCTGCTTTCCCCTGGGAGCAGAGCCTGGAATCATGTGGAGGTTTGTGACAGAGCACAGGCAGTGCAGGATGGGTTAAATCCTGTGAAAAACCAGTGGGAATGATGCTTTCTCCTATAAACCATGACAAATCTGGGGTTTTTTTGAGAGATGGGTTGTGGAGGTTTGTGACTGAGCACAGGCAGTGCAGGATAGGTTTGATCCAGTGAAAACCAGTGGGAATGATGGTCTGACTGTCCTTATATACCATAACAAATCTGGGGTTTTGAGAGGTGGGTGCCATCCCAGAGTGTGGATGTCAGTTGAGCATCCACAGAGGATGCTGCTGGCCCAGGTGGGCAGGGTTGGGTGGAGCTGTGTTTTACACAATGTTCCTCCATGCTCTGTTCTCACTCACACCCTTGCCCCCCTCTCTCTCCCCAGGCTTATGCAATGATGCTGTCCCTGTCTGAGAACGCTCCCCTCCACACGTCCTCCCAGAGCTCTCTGGGGGCTTGGCTGGACATGGCAGGAGCAGCTTCAGAGTCGGGGACCTTTAACCCCATCAACCACCTCTGAGAGGTCCACAAGGCACTGGCCAGAGCCCAGGTGAGGCAGTGGTGGTGCTGCAGCCATCCCAGCAAAATCCCAGCGAGCAGAAGATGGATGAGAGGGCCTCAGGGAGTCGTCTGGACTTTGGGCTGAGAAGGAAACCTGTCCCATCTGACCCACACGCCCTGCATTTTTATCTCTCTAGAGTTTTCCTTTCTAATTTATCACAATGAACCTCTCCCAAACTGGATAACCCCGAAGCAGCCCCAGGAATTTCACAGCCTGTAGGAACAGCATGAGCAAGACACGAATTGCAGCAGTGCAATCAAAGATTGGCCCCCTCCAACCTTCGAAACTGAGGTCACTGAGCCAGCACAGCCTGAGCAGGAATGACAGCTTGGAACCACAGGGCAGCATTTCCTTCCCATCCAGCTGAATGAAGCACCAAGGGAAGAGAGCCAGGTGTGACCTGTCCCTGGTGCAACTGTGACACAGCCACTGGAGTTATGCCAGGGAAAGACAAATCCAACCCACTAAACTGACCCCCCAAAAGAATTCTGCACTCCCACAGAAACTCCATCCTGTCCTTTGCTCCCAGCAAAGCTCCTCCAAGGTGAGGCCACATTGCCTGCAGTGAGCCACATGCAGCTCCCAGCCTGGAACGGTGCTGGGGTTGGGGTGACAGATGTGTCACACGGACATGGATGTGCCCTGAGCTAGGCTGGCAGAGCTCCCTGCCCTTCCTGGGAGTGCCTGGGACACAGCCAGGCTGGTGGAGCTCCTGAAAATGCTTGGATTTGCCCAAGCAGAGAGGTCACAGGGTAAAGGCTTCCCGTGTTGTGAATAAGGAAATGTGTGCTGGGCAAAGCCAGGGCAGCTCAGACACGTCTCTGCTGGTGTGTCAGGGTTTCAGAGTGACATCATCCTGTGCTGGTGGTATCTGTGGCACAGATCTCTGATTCACACCGTTGTTTTGGCCTGGTTTTTCCCTCTGTGCCACCTGCTGCTGCTTGGCCTGGAATTTAAGTAGAAAGATGAACATTTCCATGATCCAGCAACCTCAAGGGTGCAGAGCATGGAGATAAGAATCCAGCTGTCTTTCTGACTCAAATTTCTCACAGAGATTTCATGAGTGATTTCCAATCACTACCAAACCTCATCTTGTCTACTGATACACAGCAGCCTCCACAAATCCTGTGGGCTTTGTGTTGTTCTCTCCTGTTGGAGCAGGGAATTTGGAGATGACATTCCTTTTTGGAATGGTTAGGAAAGCCATGGAAAAGGTCAAATAGAGGGTTCTAAGCCAGTCTAGTGTGGGAAGACTCATTCCAGCAGGCCAAAACAACAGAATCAGCTCCCTAAGCAAAGCAGAGTCAGAGTTGGGTGTGACACCTTTGCAAGTCAGCTTTGCACCCAAGAGCACGTGTGGGGCTGATTTTGGGGAGCTTTCCCCACAGGAAAGCATCCGGGGTGGCTTTGGTACACAGGGAACAAAAGGTAACTTAGCAGCACCAGTGTGTTTTCCCAAGAAAATTCACCCTCCCCTTTTTGGTTTTCCACAACATCCTGTGAAAGTGCCCAAGGCTCTGAGAGCACCAGGCGGTGTGACCGAGCTGCTTCTTGTATTTGCACAAAGCTCCTGGGTAGGAGAGAGCCAACCCTGCTGAGGGAATCCCAGCTCTGTGGAGGAGAGGGACAGCCCTGTCCCATCCCATTGATCCCATCCCATCCCATTATCCCATCCCATCCATCCCATCCCATGGATCCCATCCCATCCCCACAGGCTGCAGCACAGCCCTGCCCAGGCACTTGGCCTTTAAATTATTCCCACAGGGGCCAACATGAAAATAATAAAAGAATTCTTTCTTTTCCTAATGGAAGCTATTTTAATCTGTATAGAACTTCTCATTTTGGGCTAATTCCTTTCTGATTTTATTTCTTCCTTAACAGTATTTGTTTTTTACATTAGCTATCATTCTTGTGAAGAAACCATGTTAATATGAGTATGTAGTGAAGGACCAAAATGGTGCTGCTGAGGTTGGGTGTGGGATGAGCAGGGAGCAGGAAGATTTTGTCCATGTGCCAAATGAGCCCATCAGTGCTGCCAGTGGTGCTGCTCATCTCCAGACAATCATCCCTCAGCTCCCCTTTGCCTTGGAGCTCCTGGGCCATCACAGGAAGGTTCCAGTGATTGGGAGGAGGAGGAGGCCAGTGGAGATGCTGGCCCTGCTCCAGAAGAACATGGGAACAGCCTTAACCATGGGGATGGATCCATCCTGTCCCTTTCCAGCTGCAGCTCCAGGACTCCTGGTTTGTTTGGAACAAACCACATGTCTGAGCATCTCTCTGCCATGCTGGAACAGGATCTGTGGGAAGCAGTGAGTGTTTGTGTGCTCTGACCATGGTTTGTTCACCTTGAAGAAACCTCAGGGCAGGTCAGCATCACACTCCACAGAGCAGCTGAGGGAGTGGCACTGAGCTGGACACCAAAATGTGGCCAATACTAAGGAATGCAGGTGTTACTGTGGGGATTTATTTGGGGTATTTATGGTTTCCCTGTCCCTCTCTCAGCCCTGCTGCAGGTTGTGTCATTTCTCCAGAAGCAGTTGGTCAGGTCCTTTCTCTGACTGAGCTCACACTCTCACTGTCCCCCTCCCCAGGCTCATCCTGGCTCTCCATGGATCTCCTGAGGGCCCCTGGCCAAGGAGGTGTTATCCAGCCAGGGATTGAGGACATTAAATTATAGGATTTAAAATCATGATTTTTTTTTTTCTTTTCATATTTCCTAATTCAGTTTCTTCCCATTTTCTCTAGCTTGTGTTGCTGAATCTCCCAATTCCTCTAATTTAGCACTGATTACAAGTTTTAATTTTTCCCATTAAGATAAAGAAACAGGGAGCCTCACATAACTTCTGTTAACCTCTACCTTTTGTTGCATTGCACTTGGGATGTGCTGCAGCTCACATTCCAAGTGCAATCCAACAAAAGGTAGAGCTGTGGAGGTGCAGGTGTGGAGGTTCCATTTTGCTGCAGGTGTGGAGGTTCCATTTTGCTGCTTTAGCAGAGAATCTCACCTTTTCAAGGCTGCTTCCTGAGAGGTTTGTGTCCAGGATGTTCTGCTGCCTTCCCAGTGCTGGGGAAGCTCTGGGAGCTTTGGTGAGACATGGAGCTGTGGTGTCCAAGCCCATGGACACGCTGGGATCCAGGGCAGGTGAGGGTGGCAGGGATGGGAAGTGGCTGTGGTGTGTCCAGGGTGTGGTTTAAACCCAGAGCTTTGTGTAGGATCTATTTATTTAAAGTATTTTCACAGCTGCAACAGCACAGAGGGGAGAAGGAGAAGTCCTGGGGGTTTTTGGAGTGGTCAGGTGGGGCTGGGAGCTGCACAGGGCTGAAGTTTTGGTTCTCCATGAAGAGCAGAGCTTTGGCCAGAGCTGAACCTTCCTGCCTGAGCTGGTCAGGGAGGAGGATGTGGATCTTGTGTCAGTGCATTCCTTGCTTCCCACCAGCTCAGAGCTGGAGGTTGTGATCTCTCTGGTTGGGAGCTCTCCGGTGGGATGAGCTGAGGTTCTCCCATGGGATGTGCTGAGGTGCCACGTCCAGGTCCAGGTCCAGGTCCTGCAGGACACATTGAGGCACCCAGTTCTCCTGCTGGGCTGCTGGCTTCTTCCCTGGGATGTTCCCTTTGGTGCTCAGGCTGCTCTGGGTGCCTTTCCAAGGTGTCCCAGGCCAGCAGGCCATGCTGAGCACCACGGGGACATCAATGCATGGAACCCCAAACAGAGCTGAACAAACACAGTGGGTGTGCTCAGCTGATTCTGGCACAAACACCCTGCAGGGCTCCTGTCCTCCCTCACACAGACAGAGGAAGCTTTTCCCCCTCCCCAATCAGCACTTAGGCCCTCAGTGGCTGCTCTTGGGAGCCTTTTGGAAGCACTTGCACAATGAGGTGAACGAGTTTGGCGCTGAGCATCAAAGCACTGGATCGTGAGCCCCCCGTGCCCCCCGGCCAAGCCAATCTGCTGAATTCCCACTCGGTTTTTACGTGCTGTACTGTGTGTGTGTGTGTGTGTGGCGGGGGGCAAGGGGGTCAGGGATCCCCCCTGCCCCTTTTTTGGGGGGGATCCTGACCCTTGGGGACAGCGCTGTCCCCAAGGGCAGGAGTGGCATCGCTTGGGGTCAGTGCTGGCAGCACAAGGGCACAAAATGCTCTGCTCCTCGCTGGTGGTCAGTAGTGTTCTCACAAAGCCATGAAACTTCTCCGTAGTGTTGAGTGAAACTGTGACTAAAAAACGTTCTTGAATGATTCCGAGGTTTCTTTTTTTTCCTCTTTCTTCTGTCGTTAATTCTTATTACCACTTTGGAAGAAGAAATTTAAAAATAAAATTTAAAAAAAAATATTAAAAAAAATTTAAAACTTAAAAAAAAAGAACGAAAAAGAAAAAAAAGGCAGCTTTGATTTTCCAAATGTGCAATTCACATGTGAACAAAGTAATTCTGAAAGTAATTCTCAGTGTATTTTACATTCTCATTGCTCTCTTCAAAGCAAGAGATGTTTTGCCCTGATGTCATTTCCAGCCTGCAGAAGATGTAATTTAAAACATATATATATTGTGCTTGCAAGAATCATAAATCTGTGCATCCTATGTCATTCCTTTTCCCATTGTTACAATACAGATATGATTTAGGTTGGATTTTTTTTTTCCTTTAGACCTGTATAGTGTTTTTTTAAAATCAATTGTAAATGTCTGGTTTTCATATAATGTTTAAAAAACATTGAGAAAGAGGATGGTGCTTGTTCCATATCATTCTTGATTGTATATTGCTTCTGTTATGTTTATAAGTAAACTGTGCATGACTTGTGTTTAGCAGTCATTATTGTGTCCGTTTGTGAAATTTTTATTAAAAAGAAAAAATTCCGTAGATGCACTTATTGTATATGTGATTAGATTTTGCGTCCGAGGCTCGAAGCCTTGAACTGCCAAGGAAGAAAGAAAAAGTGTTGGCAGTTATTAATTAATATGGAATCGCTTTGTTGGGAGCATAATGAAATAAAAGATATGAAGTGTAGAAAATAATTAAAAAAAAGGCAATTTTACAAATTTCATTTTGATGCTTGTGATAAAAGACAAATGTACTTGTGTAGAGAAATTCCTTTAAAATAATGAATAGAAAAAGCTGATTTTGAGGTTAATGCTGTAGAATAGGAATGTATACCAAATGTAATCTTTCCAATGCTACAATGAATTTATACATGAGATTGATATGCAATAAACCTGTGTGCTTTTATAAGCAGTGGTCCCGTGAGCTTCTTTTCATGGAATAACCATGGAGAACGTCCCCAGTAATGGGACATTGGTGTGTCACTGTCTGGCTTTGCTGCTCTGGGGTACCTCTGGGATCTGATGTCATGTGTGTGTGGTTTGTAATATGCAAGAGAGCTTCAAAAATTAAATTATGGCCACCCCACTTGCCGCTGAGGTCAGAATCATGGAATCACAGAATGATTAAGGTTGGAAAAGCTCTCCAAGACCATCCAGTCCAGCCTGTGACTGATCCCCACCTTGTCACCCAGAACAGAGCACTGAGTGCCACATCCAGGGATGGGGACTCCAAACCTCCCTGGGCGTCCCCTGCCAAGGCCTGAGCACCTTTTCCATTAAAAATTCTTCCTCATATCCAACCTGAATCTCCTCTGGCACAGTTTGAGGCTGTTTCTTGTTGTCCTCCTGTCAGGGAGTTGTGCAGAACCAGAGGTCCCCCCTGAACCTCATTTTCTCCAGGCTGAGTCCCTCCAGCTCCTTCAGCCTCCCCTCACAGGACTTCCCCAGCTCTGTGCCCTTCTCTGGAAATGTTTCAGCCCCTCAATGTCTCTCTTGTGAGGTGCCCAGAGCTCACAGAGCACTCGAGTTCTCCCCAGTGCAAAGCGGGAGCATCACATCCCAGTGAAGGGATGGGATGCTTGCACAGAGAGGACTGAGATATTCCAGGGTGGGTGAAAGTGTTGGGATGGGGCATCGGTGAGCTGATGGAAAATGTTGAACATATTTCCTTTCACAACCAGAGCGCAGAGAGAGTGAACTGCCCAGTGATAGCGGTCAGATGGTTCAGCTCCAGGGGACCTGGGAGCAGAAATTACTTGAAAGCCGGGTCTTTGAGCTTAAAAACCCCCATTACACAACTGATGAATGGCCTCGCTTCAAAAAGTCATTCATGGTGATCAAATGATGGTGTCCCACATTCGGGATAATGGCCCTTCCCCGGAGATCGGGAGGGTTTCAGTCCGAGCTGAACCCTTGAGTAGGAGCCCTCCTCTCGCTGGAGCCTTTCTCCTTATTAGCCCCGGAGGGAAAAGGATAAAAAATCCATGGGATAAGAAAGCTGTGATAATGGGGCGATTGTCAGGCAGGCCCCGGAGTGGAGAGAACAGAGGCATTTCAAAGAATATTGCTGACAAGTGGACTTTGTCATGCACAAAGTGCTTGAGATTCACCACAAACAAGTGAGAAAAAGGCCTCATTTGGGGGATGGGGAGGAGCAGAACAGGGGGGCAGAAGAGAAGGTCAAGGAAAAGTCTGTTCCCAGTAAAGACACAGAGCACTGTTGAGCCTTACTGGGCAGCTGTCAGCAGCCTGACCCTCAGATCCTCTTTCCCAGTAGCTGCAGCGTCCAAAAGCAGCAGAAATTGATGTTTTGTGCATCCGGAGGGATCGCCCGAGGTTACCTTTGACCGCTGAAGACCCAACTAAAGCGAGCATCAGACATGCCTGTAGTAAGGGAATGCTGAAATACCGAGTGTGTGTCGCCCAGACCCCGAGGACAGCCGGGGCACACTCGTTTGTCACCTGCTAAAGTGACAGGAGAATGACACCGAACAATCCCCCTGCCTTCGGCGACCTTGCAGAGGCGGCTTTAGGGGATGGGGAATGCTGAGACTCCAGGAGCGCACACACCTGACGAGCACTCATCAAGAAGCTCCTAGAGACGCTTAATTAATTTTTCACCCCCGGGAAGCAGAGGTGGCTTTAGGGGATGAAGAATGCCGAGATTCTAGGGGCGCACACACCTGAATTCTCATCAAGAAGCAGCAAAACACTGCTCCTAGAGACAATTATTATTTCACCCCCAGGAAGCAGAGGTGGCTTTAGGGAACGGGCAATGCCGAGATTCCAGGGGCGCACACACCTGATGAACGCTCATCAAAAAGCAGCAAAACACTGCTCCTAATTAATTAAAGCGCTAATTAATATTTCACCCCCAGGAAGACGGGGCGACCCCGGGCCGGGAGCAGAGCACTGCTCGGAGCCGGGATGTGCGGAACACCAGTAGAGGTGTTCATCCTGCGGGCCGGACCAGCACCTTCCCCGGTACCGGAACACCGGCACATCCCGGGGCACACCGGCACGGTCTCGGGGGCCGGACCAGCACCTCCCCCGGTCCCGCCCCGGTCCCTCCCATCCCTCCTGGTCCCTCCCATCCCTTTCGCCGCCGCCGCCGCCGCGCTGGCTCCGAGGGGCGCGGGTAGGTGCAGGCGCGGCGGGGTCGGGGCTGGGGCGCTGCGGAGGGACCGGGGAGCCCGGGGAGGGTCCGGCACCGCAATCGGCACCGGTACCGGGGCTCCCGGGCAGCCGTGCGGGCGGTGGCTCCGAGAGAGCGGCTACCGAGCGCCTTCCGGGGAGGGGACGGCGGGACCGGCTGTGCTGTCCCTGCCGGGCTCGTCTTCCCTTGGCTCTGTCCTCGCTGTCCCCGCGGGTCTCAGCGGTGCCAAGGGGTGGTTGGCTCCGTGGCAGAGGGGTTTGGGTGCTTCCCAGGGCTGTATTGCTGCCCATTTAGAGCCCAGCTCCCTGCACCGAGTTACGGTGCCCCTGTGCCACCGCTGTCGATGCCCTGTGTGGCCCCCGAGCTTCCCTCCATCCCAGCACCGAGAGCTGTGCACGCTGCCGCCCCCAAACCCTCTGGGTTCAGGCTTGTTTATTGCCACCAGGGCTTGGGATAAGCGTTGAGCTCAGGCAAGATGGGGTTAAGAGCGGAATGTGGTCCGAGGGACACTTGGCAGAGCTCTGGACATAAAGCATGTGTCCCCCATCCGAGGACAGTGGAATGAGCAGCATCTCTGTCAAACGAGCTGTTGTTGATGGGTCTGTGCTGTCCTCCTGCCAGTCATTCATGCAGGGAAAAGCACGGTCCAGCCTTGGTTTGTTTCCTGGTCTTTGAAAGGGAACAGCTTGGAGATGGCACTGGCACACAATGGAACCTCAGTTGAGGACAATTAAACATAATTTCTCCCGAAGTTATGTAATAGGCAGAGGGCATAAAGCACTCTGTCTGCTCTGTAGGTGCATGGTTCTGTGCGTGGCACAGGAGGGGATGAGTGACCTTAACCCTACCTGGGAAGCCCCAGGGAGTGGGGCAGGTGTTTATGTGGGCAGAGTGGTTTGGGGCAGGTACAAGCTTGGAGGACAACAGGGTTCACAGCCAGGGAATCCACAGCCTGAGGGAGGTGGCATTCAGGCGGGTGCAGACCAGCTGTGGTGGCTGACAGCACCCCAAAGGGGAATGAGGGGACACGGAGGTGTGGCAGCAGCAGGGCTCAGGGAGGCTCCATGCCTGTCTGATTCAGGTCTGAGCCTGCCCGGTGCCTGAGGCAGGGTCTGGCTGCTCCCATGGCCTGGCTGCTCCATGGCTGCTCCTGATCTTGGCTACTCCCATGGCCTGGCTACTCCTAGTCCTGGCTGCTCCATGGCTACTCCCATGGCCTGGCTACTCCTAGTCCTGGCTGCTCCGTGGCCTGGCTACTCCTAGTCCTGCCTGCTCCATGTCCTGGCTGCTCCCTGGCTGCTCCCACGGCCTGGCTGCTCCATGGCCTGGATGCTCCTGGTTCCTGACCATGTCCTGGAGTCCCTTGCCTGGCCCTGGCACACAGGTGGCCCCACAAGGAGCGAGGTGGTGACAGCATCCCCAGTGTGTCCATACAGGCCTGGCCTCAGGAGCAGGGTGGAGGCCAAGCCCTGCGCTGTCCCAAGGTTCCTATGGCTCAACATAAATTCCTGCTGCCTTACGGGGAGTTGTTCAGCCACCTGTCTGTCTGTCTGTCTGTCCTCCTCAGCTTGCTGCTCCCCCAGCCACCGCCATGTTTCGGGGCTCCTCTGCTACCTCTGTGGATGACAAGACCT